CGTAACAACAACTTCAATTCTGCTTCGAAGGACCAGGTCCTCCTCCCTGCCCCGGCGTACGGAACTTTCAAGTGTGACACGCCGTATGATCTTGGTCTGGCTGCCCTTCAGGCGGTTGGGCCCTTGACTGGGACCGGAAAGGGAAAGGATAAGGATTCTCTGGCTTGGTCTCTTTATACTGGCGATCTTGTGTCGCATGATCCAGTCCAGGAAATGTCTCGAGAATACGTTGAGTACACGGAGACTAGTATCTATGGCATGTTCAAGGAATACCTGACCGGGCCTGTCTTTGCTGCGCTGGGCAATCATGATACTAGCCCGGAGAACATCGATGCTCCTCACAATCTCCCTGGGCCCCTGGGCGAACAGCAGAGTTGGAACTACAAGCATGTCGCCGGACTTTGGAAACACGAAGGATGGATCGATGAGAAGACTGCCGCGGAGGCGCGCACACATTACGGTGGATACTCCGTCAAGACTCACTACGGTCTGCGCATTATTGCGTTCAATACTGGTAAAAGTACCCGGATACTGGTCAATTATGCTAGGCACTGACTCCATCAGATTTCTGGTACTCGACAAACTACTTCAACTTCATCAACTCCACCAACCCCGATAACTCTGGCGTCTTTTCCTGGATGATCGACGAGCTTCAAAAGGCCGAAGATGCTGGCGAGCGTGTCTGGATCGTTGGCCACGTTCTCAGCGGATGGGATGGCTCCAATCCCCTGCCTAATCCTACTAATCTTTTCTACCAGATTGTGGACCGCTACTCGCCCCATGTCATTGCCAATATCTTCTTTGGCCATACTCACGAGGACCAGTTTATGATCTACTATGCCAACAACGGCACGTTGCAGAGCGTAGACACAGCCCTGACAACCGGCTGGATCATGCCCAGCATCACCCCATTGACGAACCTGAACAGCGGGTTCAGGATGTACGAAGTCGACACTGGCGACTTCAACATCTACGAGGCCTACACCTTCTTCAGCAACGTCTCCGATTATACTACCCTCAAAGCGACGGGGCCCACGTTCCATTTTGAATACTCAACCCGTGACACGTACGGTCCCGCGGCAGGCTGGGACAAGGACGCCCCCTTGAATGCCACCTTTTGGCATCGGGTGACGGAGGCTATGGAGAAAGATATCGACCTGGTAAGCTTGCACAATACTTATCAGGGTAAGATGAGCGTCAAGTCCCCCAACTGCACCAATGTGGAGTGTCAGGAAGCGAAGATCTGCTACATGAGGAGCGGCAGTGTTGCTTTGGGCAGCCAATGTCCTCAGGGGTGAGTTGCACTCTCAACTGTAATGATCTGGATGCTAATTAGTTATAGATACGGCTCGGTACAAAGTTCTTTCTCTTGAGCGGGTCTTTATAGTGTACATGTACATACCATGGGATACCTTCCCGGTATTCCTTTATCACTAAGAACAAATCAAAATGTGCATGCATCTATAGACATGGCCATCAGAGAGGCTCACTTCTAGGTTAATGTCCGCTGGATGCTCATGATTTCCTTTTGCAACATTCATCGTCTCTGGCCTTCTTGGCGTTCTTCATCATCTCTGGCCTTCTCGGCGTTCTTCATCGTCTCTGGCCTTCTCGGCGTTCTTCATCGTCTCTGGCCTTCTCGGCGTTCTTCATCATCCTGGCCTTCTCGGCGTTATTCATTGTTCTGGCCTTCTCGGCGATCCATCGTCCCTAGGCTTCTCAGTGATATTCATCGTTCTGGGCTTCTCGGCGATCCATCGTCCCTAGGCTTCTCAGTGATATTCATCGTTCTGGGCTTCTCGGTGATCTTTAACATCTCTGGGCTCCGCAGTGATATTCATCGTCTCCCGCCATTGGCCCAGATAGTGAGTATACAGAGGCTCGGCGTCAACCCCATTCACACGCCTATCCCATTATTCTTTATGGATTCACCAGAAGTAATCATTCTTGCAGTTGCTTCACCGTTTTAATGCCGGTGGCAGATATATAAAGACCCCCTGGACCCCAGGTCAGAAGTCTCTTCTCCTTACTCACACTGCAAGACTTAAGACTTCATCTTCTCTTACCCAGGTCGTTGGGCTAGCATTTGGGCCCTATTCTCTCATTGTATCCTTCTTTATCTTTCTTACAAGATCTATTCTTTACCTTGTCGAGAGAATCGAGATCGAAACGACGTACGGGGTGCTTCGCTCATAGCCTCTTTCAGAACCTACTGTCAAGCTCTCGGAGCGAGGCCAAGACTTTGCAACTGAATCTTGCGCTTCTGTCGAGAGAATCGAGATCGGAACGACGTACGAGGTGCTTCGCTCATAGCCTCTTTCAGAACCTACTGTCAAGCTCTCGGAGCGAGGCGAAGACTTCGCGACTGAATCTTGCGCTTCTGTCTCCTCCAAACCCATTATCGGTTTTGGAAAGACTCATGTGATGAGTTCACTCAAAATCCTGCGCATCAGACATTTCCGGTCTGTTGCCAACGTTCGGGTGGTTCGCCGACGAAGATTCCACCGATGAAACGTGCGCTTCAGCCTTCGAAATCTTTATTTCCGCGTTGCCGAAATCCCATCTTCTGTCAGAAAATGGTGTGCTTCGGCCAGTTTTCCCAGGCGAGTGTGGATGTGGAAACTGACGTCGAAACTGGCGTTGAAAAAGTGGATGCCGGCGTCGAGACTCGAAACTGATGTCGAAAGGGCTCATGCGAAGATTCTACCGACGAATCGTGGGCCCCGGCCCCTCTCGAGCCATCTTCTCTCGCCCAGAGACACGTGGGGGCGTACAGGCCAATCATGTGAAACAATGTCGAGGCTATGGTAAGTCTGATCCTATCGGGGTAGCAAAGACGTGGGCTGACTTGAGTAGATTGCGCTTGCCAGCTTGGCTGGTCTCGAGATTTCTTGGATGGTACCGTGACAAGTCAGTTGTTTCTTGAAGCTTCTGCTTCCACTTGGTACGGGATGGAGATTTTCGAACTGTCCTTGGACATTCCCATGCTGGTTCAGCCATCGGTCAGGTCCTCCCACTGGGGTGGGCAGTATCGCAACCCCAGAAAAGGGCCATCGTCAGCTCTATGGTTGTCTGTACCTGCGATTGCGCTTACCAGCTTGGCTGGTCTCGAGACTTATGGCTGGTACCTTGACAAGTTGTTGTTTCGTGAAGCTTCTGCCTCCACTTGGTATTTCATTCTGTTCAGCCATCGGTCGGGTCCTCCCACTGGGATGGAACCTGCGATACTGTCCTTCCCTCCCAAGCACAGAGAAAGACGATCGTCTGCTCTATGGCTTGTCTGTACCTATTTTGAAGTCAGTTGTGTGACCTCAGCCGACATTGGCCTGGTCAGATGCATGATGTCCAGGCAATACTCGAAGTGAAATGGATGTCAAATCGATCTGCGCGACCAATCTCTTCATCGGACCCATACGGATCGAACATGCTCCGGACAATCCAATCGAGAAGGGCCAGTCCCTTTCACCTATTCAATTCAAAGGAGCGGTGGCGCACGCCTTGGAGGTGATGATCGAGTATCATCGCATTTGCGGGAGGTAATCATCCATTACCACCGGATTTGTTGGAGGTGATGATCGAATATCATCGCATTTGCGGGAGGTAATGATTCATTACCACAGGGTTCGTGGGAAGTGTCAGAGCTCAACCTGAGCTTGTTCTGCTCTAGGTGCCGGAAACCAAGCAGCGACTGCACCCACGATGCCGGCGGCATGCAGAATCAACCAAGTATTACTTGGCACCATCGCCATGCTCTATGTTCTGGCTGTGATGCAAGACATGGCCCTCCAAAGATGAAGTCAAGGAAGTCAAGGACGCCGAGGAAGCCTACCTATGCAGTCGAAGAGGAATTCGAAGTTTCGAACGGCCTTTCAAAATGTCGGACGGAGACATTCTTCGTCCCTTGTCTGCCCATCCAATATGCGAATGTCGCGAATGGCCTCAAAATGCCCAGCACGACGAAGCTGAGAAGTTCAAGATGGCATTACTGATCAAAGAGACAGATTGCACAATGAGCTCGGATACTCAGCTCTGCGGACAACACTCGCAGACCCGCACAGCTTCCGTGCCAATGGAGTTGCGATATCGGAACTCCCGAATTTACGAGGGAGTACATTCTCAAGGATTGTCCCTGTGGCTGCACTCAGGTCCAAGCTGACTACGGAAAAGAGGGGTGTCGACGATTGCGAGAAGACGCTAGCCTGCTGCGGCGGTTCAATATACGATTCAACGTGCCTAGGGCATCATTGCGAAAGAGAAGGTGGACGATCAACCGAAGGCCCGGTGCAGCTGTTCAATCCAATATTGGCCGGGCCTTCTGCTTCTATGCAGGTCACTGTGGTTCGTTTTCCCTCCTAAGGACGAAGGGGAGTTCATTCTCAAGGATTGTGCCTTTCCTCGCGCACGAGCCTAAGGCTCACTACAAAACAAACGGGGGCGTCGACAATTGCAAGAAGACGCTGCCCTGCTGCGGCGGTTCAGCATTGTTCGACGTGCCTAGGGCATCATCACGAAAGGAGGGTGTCGACGACTGCAAAAACACCCTGGTCGGCCGTTCAATCTAATATTGGACGAGCCTTTTGCTTTTATGCGGGACGCTGTGGTTCGTTCCCTCCTGAGAATGAAAAGCTTCCCGGGGAGTTCATTCTCAAGGACTGGTGCCTTCCTCGCGCGTGAACCTAAGGCTCACTACAAAAAGAGGGCGTCGACGACTGCGAAACACCCTGGTCGGCCGTTCAATCTAATATTGGACGAGCCTTTTGCTTCTATGCCGGACGCTGTGGTTCGTTTCCCCTCCTGAGGAAGCAAAAGCCTAAAGAAAAGCAACTTTTCCTCAGTAACGGGTTGAACTTCCTTAGGAAGCCGGTCATGGCAAGGTGTGTGCTAAGGTGGATTGCATATCAGTATGACTGAATATTGCACTATGTGACTTGGATTTGTTCTACACGGCATTCAAGATAGTTTGATACTACTTTGTACTTCGATTGTGACTTCGATTTGTTCTACACAGCTTCCAAGATAGTTTGATACTGCTCTATACCTCAATTATCAGTGTGCTCTTCTTCCACTCATTTCAAGTACCCGTAGCCCGCCTGCTAAAATACCTCCCACCGTGATACTGCCGAAGACAAGGACCACAGACAAGCATATGAACTCAAACAGGCCGATGGATACGTGACTCATCTTCCGATCGTTCTGAACCTTTATGCCAGCCTGATATGCTTCCCTGCCCGTTTTCTTGCCCTCTTGCGGAACATACTGGAACGGGAAGCTAGTACGGGACTTCCTTTGCACAATGCCTCTGTATAGAATTGATCGGAAAAGCTAGACGGTCAGTACCTCATTACCCAAGTAAACGCGCCAAACTCACATTGATCACAAAGCCATCAAGACCAGGAACAAGACGCTGCATCCAAGCCATAAACACTACCAGCACGCAATGCCCCGTGAAAGCCAGGTAGTGCCATACCCCTGGCCGTCCGAGGCCAAGCTCATCGCAAAGCTCGTCGCCGTTGATCCACCGACTGCCAGCTTCGATGAAGCACCGGTGCAGGCAAATTCTGTACACACTGCACAAAGTTGTAAGCCACCACGCGTGAGGTCTCTGTTATCCGGAGCTCATGGAGGTAGCAGCTCTCCATGGTCAATTTGGCTTTCTCGGATGTCTCAAAGGATGCTGGTGGAGTACCGAGCAAGTATCCCAGGTACCGGAATAGAGCAATATAGTCGTCGATCTCTTGTTGGGAAGGCCTCACTCCAAACTTGGGCAGTTGAAGCCACATAGGGTTGCAGCTGAAGGTGCTGATGGAGTGGATCGAGTCGAGAGTGTTGACTGGGACCCCGTGTTGACTGACGTCGTAGTATTCGGGCTTCCTCTCGCACAGCTTGAGGATTCGTTGTCGGACCGCGGAATGGAGGAGTCGGACCCTGATCGTTGCAATGTGACCATCGCCTCCAGGCTGGATGGCGGCGAGGTGACCTGGATGAGCCACTGGAAAGTCTCGAGCAAGCGTCCGAGGAGCATACGGGTGGAAAACCCACCGGTTCGGACGAGGACCTCGACGACTCCCGAGGCGGCCTTTTACGGAAGGACTGTTAGTGATCATGGCTGCTGACAGGATACATGCCAACAGATGAAAGTCTTACCGAATTTTCCGCCATAAACCCTTGCAACGCAAAGCCGACGATGTTTGCAATGGCGTACCGGTAGAAGAACCTCTGGCCCCGTTCGAGCTGTTCCCAATCTACCCAGTCAGGAACGGTATGGAGCTCATTCCAGAACTGGGACAGCGTCTCGTCTTCGCTGTGGTGATCTCGAAGAAGAATGTAGAGATCGTTTGGGGGCGGAGAAGTGCCTTTCGCTTTGCTTTCTTCGAGCAGAGCAGCACGAACTGCTTGGATTCGCTCCAATGCCGCAGCACCAAGGGTATCATACTCCTGGCGCAAAGGCTTGATTGTCTCCTGGGCGAGGTGGCTATCAGTCCACTTGAATGAATAGCCCCATTTGCTTATCGTTTCCCCAACCCGCGGGGAAGAGTTCAAAAAAGAGGAAGTAGAAGACATACTGGTATTGTGCTCTATGTCTGCATGGTTAGGGCTATCAACAGTTCCAGCTACGACATTATATAGGCCGGTTCCATCTGCATCCCATTTCCAGCTTCGAGAGGTGATAGTCAGACCATAGGCACTGAGCAATCCTCTACAAACCTTCATGGCAACGCCATAATACCGCACTCATTGCATACGAAGCCATTGCGTTGATCGAAACAAAGAAGTCAAGCCCTCTCGTATCTCGAGTCAATCATCGTAATCGACTGTTTCCTGCTTTGGAAAGAGTCAAGCGACTAGTGGAGCATCGTCGAGAGACCGCGCAAGAATTTGATATTCGAGGTAGGGGAGACCTATAGCGTAGCCTATCAGGTACTCCTGTTTTGGCATGATCCCCATCATAGCTTCGCATCAATGAGCCTAGGTTAGAGACTTCGGTCATTGGAGCGAGGTGATTATTGCGCCGAGCAGCACGAGGTTGAACGAATGAGGACGGTGACCACCCAACCGATGGTGTCCGTTGCAAGCGTCTTGCATTCGCCAAACACCGAGGTAGAACCGATTTTCATTCATTCCCAGCCCACGTTGACGATCTTCAGCGACCATTGCAGGCGAAGATGAGAGAAATAAAGAAAAGAGACTTCAGCGTGGCTTTAGTGTACCGACCTGCCGGGATTGAGTCAGTATACTTTGTTGAGAGAAGGGAGTTTTGGATGTTGGTGGCTACCTATCCGCGAGGACATTGTTCAGATCAATCGCCTTGCGACAGATTTGTGTAGCCATTGTATCTTGAAGCTGACAGGCTGTGTCACCTTAAATCTATTGTCTTGACTCCAGATGAGATGATAAGATCAGATTCAGAACCCAGTTGTTGGTAACCCGTGGGAATCATGTGTCAAGCAAAGGGGTTCAGGCAATGATCTACGCAGTAGATAGTTGCTCGATCGAAGTGGTTCTCTCCACAGTGGAGAACAATATCAAGGCCATCTTCTTTGTCTTTGAAGCCACATGTAGGCACATTCTGGAGATGAACTTTGCACATTGAGATAGCACGATATCAATTTTGCGGTTGTGATTGATGACCACGAAGACCATAGCGAGACAACGGGGCGAACTCTAACCCATTAGTCAGTGATAATGAAAGAAATTCTATCTGGCAGCCATCCTCCGAACTTTGGGTCAAAAGACAGAAAGACTATGCGTTTAGCGCTATCGGAGTATCTTGAGTATGGGTTCTGGGAAGTCAATTTTCGAATATTGTTCTCTGAGGGAGGTCCATTGTCACTCTTCCGTCCACTCCAGATTCTGATCGACATGGAGGATTCTGGGTATAAAGATCATGATCACTTTGCGATGGCTTTTAATCTTGAAGATAAGAATCACATTGATTCTAAGGAGTCTATCCAGACAGCCATTGTCTATATCATCTATATCCATCGACCAAAATGACGGACTTTATGGTGCACGAGAACCCAGTCCGGCTGGGAGAGAAGAGGACAACGACGCAGGATACACATATCCCCGTCCATCTGCCTCAATTATTCGTGCTGTTTCTGTCCGAGAATCCGGTGGTCAATCCGCACTACGAAAAGGTGAGGAAAGAATCCGAAGAATGGTTGGCCAAGTAGGTATCCTAGCCCCAAATAACTACAGACCCAGCCGACTAACTCGTCTCTTTAACCAGTGAATGCTCCTTCGATGAGAGATCTCGGCGCATTCTGAGCAAAACCGATTTCTCATACTTCTGCTCCGTCGCGGCGCCGCATGCTGGACCGGAGGAATTGCGCACGGTGTGTGATTGGGGGAATTGGGTGTTCCCATTCGACGATAGTAGGTCCCTTCCATATGGAAGCGCTTGTAGTCTGAGTATTGAGCATATCTCTGGCAGTGTTCGATAACGGAGGCCTGAAGGACGATCCGGCTCGGGCACAACAACTCATCGACAGTTTACTCGCCGGGATGCTGGACGAGGGTGCTCAGCTGCCGTCTGAGGCAGAAAGCTCCCTGGTTCGAGTTCACAACACGGTGTGGCAGCGCGTGGCCCAGGTACGGCCCCTTCCCTCTTAATTCCTGGTTCGGTCAATTTCGCTGACGAGACTCAGGCTTCCCCTGTTGGTATGTAGAATCATGAACCTTCCTCGTGCATTTACTCATGCGGTCTATACAGGAGTCAAACGCAGATTCGCCGACGCGATGAGAGATTACTGCAAGGGGAGCATAGAGCAAGTCCGTACTTGTTCCCTGGGCCGATACCCGTCTCTGGACGAGATGCTGGCATTGCGAAGGCAGTCGGCCGGTGTTGCGCCTCTTTTCGCTTTGGTCGAGTATGTCTAGGCCCATGACATGAACGCACTTCTACTCATGCCATCAGGTACGCACACAAACTGGATATCCCAGACCACGTCTTCGAGTGCAGAAGTATCAAGGAGATAGAACGTGTTGGAGTGGACCTTGTTCTTCTGTAAGTCTTCCCATTCTAATCTCAGCCGGATGTTAAGTGAAACAGACAGAACGATATACTCTCCTACTGCAAGGAAGAGGTAACCTCCCTAATCCCTCATCCCTCAATCCCACAAATGATACTGATTTGCAACCAGAAAGAAGGAGTAACACACAACGTCGTCGCCATATGCCGTCACTCTGGCATGCCCGCTCAAATGGCATTCAACCATATCGGCGATATGCTCGTCGCTCGGTATAAGGACTGGTATCTTGCACTGGCAGAGCTTCCGAGCTGGGGTGAGCATATCGATGCTCAAGTGCAACAGTATATTCGGGGAGTGCAGAATGTTGTGATGGCTAATTTGAATTGGAGGTATGTGTCAAGTCTAGGTCGTTTAGTATCTGGCTGACGCTTTCGATTGTAGCTTTCGATCAGGACGATACTTCGGAGATGCAAAGGATATTGTGCGAAAGTCGATGATCGTGACGGTCAAGCGGCATAGTGTAGATGTTTGAAGTTGGTGTGGTTTTGTGTCGATGTCTATGTTCTATGCTTCTTGTTGATATTAAGATTTACTCTGCATGAAACATTTTGTTACTCCCAAAATAGTACATCAAAACAAAGTATTAAGCCATCCTAGTACATATAAAGTACAGAAGAACTAATATGAAAGAAACCAATAACATTCCCATCATCCAGTCATCCCCGCCATCCATAGACCTATCCTGCACAAATTCCGTCCTATGACTCCTATAAAGGTGTACCCCAGATTAACATTAAGTACCGAGTAGTTTTTTCCCGTGTCAATCCCAGCCTATTTTTCATCGGCATCAGATCATCGAACAATCGTGCATCATTGGCGCCAATGCAGAACCTCTCAGCATTGACAGTTGTCGTTACAATTGCATTAGCTTTGGCAGAGAGACGTCTGCGTACCGAAAACTAACCACTTGTTAGAGCATCTCTCGCCATAAAGAAAGGATCACATACAGGATCACTTGACCATTAAACCTGAGCCATGCTAGGGCGTGCCCGTGGTGCACGACCGGTCCGGCTGCGCATGTCGACGGTAGAGCTACGAGCCATCAGGATAGAGACGACCGTCGAAGCCATGTATCCAGCCCAAGCGAACCACAAGAACGCAACAGATGCCTGGGCCTCACGGCATCGCTTCTGACGGTTGTGGGCGCCGTTGGTGATTTCGTTGCGGAGTAGGTAGTCCTATGCTCGTTAGTCACTGCAAACGAGGATGGTCATGGATGTCGCGACGTACCTGGTTGGAGCAGGAGTGGCATTCCAGCCGAGCAGCCAGTGCGATTGCACAGGACAAGAAGAAGATGTTGTTCAAAACATCGAGCACGATCATGATGATGGGGTGAATGGCCCAGCTAAGGTTGATCGAGGCAGGGACAAGGTAGAATAGCGATACAATCGAGAATGTGGCAGTGTACATGCTGTAGTTGATCGTGGCGGGGTTGCCTGCAAACGCCATGGCGATGATGTTACCTATCAAGGCCATGACGAGCACGGAGAAGACGAACTGCACGTTACTCGTATGTTAGCTATCCGTCCGGCTTCTCTGTCGAAAGACGTTGTGGCTGTAGATGGAAGTCTGCACGTACCTCCCATACTCTCAGGCCGAGCTGGATTCCTCTGAGGGCCATTTTGACTAGTTGTTGAGCTGGTTGCTGTTCTTATCTCGTTCTTTTGGAGAGTTTTGTGGTTGCGATTGCGTATAGTTGCGCAAGCTAGTATACTGGGTAAGTCACCACGACGCAGGTTCGAACACGCAGTCGGACGAGGCCACGACGAGGAAATTAAGATTGCAAAGCGTAGATCTGATGCGCCGCTTGATTCTAGGGATGAAGGATATTTTATTCTGTGCGGAATGTCCGGAGGCCGACAATGACGATATGCTGCGGAAATGGACAATCTGCTACGTCATGCATGGGAGGAGGGATCATGAAATCACCAGTAGAAGTTGAGCCACCTTATGGATCAATCAGATTGATCTTTTGGTCTTGGTCAATACAGAGACCTATATCATCGAAGCTAAAAGGTGAAAACTAAGTGGGGTCAGAGAACATGATCGTCATTAGCAAAGAGAAGCTGCAGCCAGCTGTTGGGCGTCAGTGCATATGCACCTGGAGCTTGTACTGGGGATTATTCTAGCACACAACTACTGTGCTGCTCCGTAGTAGGTGATGACTGCTCCTACCAACAGAACCGTTGGAGCTCAAAAACATCAGAACTCGCCCTCTCTTCCGCCTGATTCCGATATGAAATGATGATTCCGTCACCATATGCTCTGCAACAATTTCGAAGTCAATTCTCAGAGCTTATACTCCTACAATGACCCTATGCACAGTGATCCATGGGACTGGTGGACTGGCTGGACCGGTTCAGCCACTCAAGAATCTAACTGCAGTGGGCTCTGACATCCTCATGCTTATGGATCGAGTTCCTTAATCGTTGTATGATCCACTGGTCGAGACCCGAATCCATTGTCGGCTCTTCACGGTCGATGCATGCAGTAACCAAGTACAAATCCAGAATCCTGACCTCGCAAGTGCACCTCTCCACATGCTCTGGTTGAAGAGAATTCTTCCAGGGTTGAAAAGAGATGAAAATTTTTCACAGACATCCTCCGATTTAGGACAATAAAAGGAAAAGTCTCAAGCAAAGATCCACAACATCTACTGAGACATCGTCTCACATAGGTTAGAGAGAAAAAACAAGACAAAGGTCGTTTCTCATAGAGTGGAAGCTTCCGCAGCCACAGGAACTCCCTTCTGGGCCAGCTCCGACTGTGGCTTCATAAACGCAGAGAAGAAGCGTTCCATGTCCTCATAATCATCCACTTCACCGAGCCAACTGACGTACTGATCTGGTCGGACAATAACACTCGCTCCACGTCTGGGATCGATGCCGTAGTTCTCGTACGCCTTTCCATGACCCTCGTGGTAGGATTCATCATCCACAAACACCTTCCAGTAATCCCATCCTTGCTTCTCGCTATACGGATGGAATATTTCGGGGAGCTCTAGGAGTTCAATGCTTGTGCGGGGTCCGGCATGGACAGTCAGGATTTCGATAACGCTATCGATCGGCTGCTCAGGTGGCGTATATCTGCGAAGGAATGAAGTCGGGCTGCTGAGCTTCTCTCCCAGCTGGCTATAGCGGCGGAAATTCTCGCGGTTGGTAAGGTCACCAGCGAAGACAATCACGCGCCATCGGCCATTGCTTTTCAGCAGTTCCTGGAGATGCCATGGCCGAGCGTCGGATTGATTGAGCACCTTGAAACTCGGCATTCTCATGCCAACCGAGATACCGGTTGACAGATGCTCCTTGCTGACTACCCGGAGGCTTTTGTCTTTGCTTGCGACATCCGTGCCGTCGCCTTGTTCGACTGAGTCTCCCTCCTTTGCAACGAGGATACTAGAGCCATAGTCGACAGCTGTTTTCAATATGGTCAGACCGAGTAAGCTCAAATACCGAGAAGCGACTGCATTGTCTTACCAATACCACTGGCAAACATGTTTCCTTTCTGGAACGCCATCTTGAATTCTTCCATGCTGATCCCCTCCTCGTCCATGACGTCCTTGGCTGGACGACCGGAGAAGAGACGAGAAAAGCGATAGTCGAAGTCAATTAGGTCTTGAGCGATGCGCCTCCTTTCAGATTGGTATGTCTTGAGGATTGCGCTGTCGCTGTAGCCTTTCACCACATGGGCTAACTTCCAGCCCAAGTTATAAGCTGAGGGTTATTAGTACGGTTCAATCAATCACTACGGAAGATAGTATATAACACATACCGTCCTGCATGCTTACGTTCATACCCTGACCAGCTTTTGGTGAGTGGGTATGCACTGCATCGCCAGCCAGGAACACACGTTCCTGGAGCGAAAACTTGTCTCCAACTCGTTGACCGATCTGATACGCAGTCCACCAGTCGCAGTACGAATAGTCCAGCTTATATGGATGAAGGATGCGTTGCGCGGACTTGAGAATCATATCCGGTGTGATCTTCGACCGATCTGCCTTGCCACCTCCGGTGACTGTTGACTGCAACTGGATGTATAGCCGAACGAGCTTATTCTCGCGAGGAATGACCATCACAGATCCTGCGTTCGCAGAATGAATCGCGCAGCGCATTCGAATATCCGGAAAATCGGTAATGGGAATGATATCGAGCACACCCCAGATGTAATCTGTCGAATCTCCTTCCAGCTGAAAGCCTAGTTGGCGTCTGACCCACGAGTGTGCACCATCGCAGCCAACCATGAACTTAGCCTTGACAACTTGGGTCTGATTTGCGCGGCTATCCAGCTCAGCTGCTCGTAGCATGTCGTCCGTGTCATCTGGGGAGAGGTTACTCCGGAACAACCCATCGCTAACCGCAGCGCCGTTCGTAGCCTGTTGCTGCTTTGGGGTGGCCTCTTCTTCTGTCAAGGTGCGCAAGGTGACAGTGATAGGGTAGTCATCGACATCGGCAGCTTTGGAGGCATCGAATTCAAAAGAAGTGGGCATCACTCCTCTTTCCACGGCAATGTTACTGTGCTCCTTGATGGAGTCAAGGAAGAACCGTTCAATGCGGCCTTGATGAAGAACGACTTGCTGGAAGCGACTGATGCCAGGGATAGTATCTGGAATACGGTCAGATCGACGGATAACGCCGTCCTTGTCGGGGTTCCAGAGGCAGATTTCCAGCATGTGGTTCGATTCTCTCCAGGCGCGGTGGGCAAAGTCAAAGGAATCAAAGATCTCCAGTGTTCTGCATTGGAGCCCGTCTGCTTGGCCGCTAAATACCTGCGCAGGAAATCAGTAAGTCTTCAATGTGGAGGCCAAATGGACCAACCTTTGTGCTACGCTTGTCCACGATGCGAGTCTTGATTCCTAATCGGCTCATCCAGTTCGCCAACATGAGGCCAGCTGGCCCAGCCCCAACAATGAGCACATCAACATGATCCTCGGGCTGATTCAAATTTGTCATCGTATCCAGAGTAGACTAGGGTAAGTTTGCATGTGTTTATCAAGAAGTGTAGGTCTGTGCCTTGCAATCCTTTCCTAGAAGTTATGGTCTGCGACGGACAACCATGGCTTCGATTTATATTCCCAGTGCCATCCGTCTCCTCTGACAGCTGAGGTCTTCCCTTGATCCGATAAAAGTTCGAATCCGATGTCAATCCGGCATAGATTGTCGTCGTCATTTGTCGGTGCTTCCGAATACCAAATGCCGCAATGCAGAGCCGGGGACTAACCCCGCAAACTCAGCGAGGCGCAGAGAGTGGGGTTACAGATGGCATCAACGCCAGTGGAAATGCCCATGTCTAATAATTAGATTCTAATGACTAGAACCATCCTAGGGATCTCCAATGGGGGATCCCACGGGGAATAATCCAGCTCGATAGTACGAGTGACAGGTCCAATAACCTTGGCTCCCGGCCCAATCTGAGTTTCTTGTTCGTCCCATCTAGGCCACGTTCCGACGACAAAAATATCGGATCTCTGGCAGCATGATAGGTTGACACTCTTCCATTTCGGAAGCTAGTTCAATCGAATCACATGGATAAAGTCATCATCAAGTGGTGGTTGTGTTGTGAACAGGCAGTATCTGTGGTCTGTAGAGCTTCTATCTGGGATCTGATTCTCAGAACAATGGTCTCCAAGCAAAGATTCAACTGCAGCTGAGCTCAAGGGTGTTCAAGAGGAACCATAGAGGTCTTAACTAGTCAGATGATGGTCATTTCATATTGAAAGAACGCTGAACATCAATGTTTGAGTGGTAATGAAAACACACTAGCTCTCATTTAAATCCAGGTTCGTCAATGTGATCCACAAGATGACTAGTATAAAGTCATAGGTAGAAGAATAGGTACACAGCTATTTCAATAGCAATATAGGTGCACAGAGAGATTTTAGGAGGCTAGCATCCTTTGCCAAATGGGGCTTGACTGTACGGAGGAGTACTGCCAAATTTATTTATTTGGCACAGACCAGGCGACCCAGGTCATACAAGATTCCCAAAATCTTGCCATTTAACAATGAAGAAAACAAAGTGTCCGTAGGGGTACACTGGATGTGTAAGTAGATAATCTTAATTGTGTTTCTCTGACCGCGAGTATTGCGACAGTCGCAGGAAACATTGGCATCAAGCATGGCTTTGATGTCGACCTGCTTGAGAAGATACATACACCTCATTCAACCAGTATATCCATCACCGAGCAGGGTATGCTTATGCTATACTTTCGGAGAGGCCTACTGAAATAGTGAGTTAGATAATGTCAGCATAGTAAAAGCTCTAGAAGGCTACCTGCTCAGTTAAAGAGCAATCAAAGGGGCTGGTGGAGATGGCAGAGCAACACAGATGCTGTGGCTGGTACGGAGTAATCTCCTAAATTTGTGTCATCAGACTAATGTTTGGCTTCAAGATCTTCCCATTTGTCTTCTAACAATCTCAATCAGGATAATTGTTCAAATATTGTACAGAGTGGCTTGCCAAAGAACGTGGTGAGATAAGATGTTCCTGAATAATGTCAGCGGGGCAATTTCCCCCCTCGCCCACACGGGCCCGCGCAAATAATTTCTCCAGCTCCTTCTCCGACCTAAAGTTGTCCACAAACCCAGTTGTGGCATTTCTTTTGCTAACTGTACCCTACCCCAGAGAACATCATGGCAATTCAGTAAGGCATCCTTGCCGAGACGTTCTTCTACTCTTTATGAAAACTGACAGTCGCCTTACAGTTACCTGATCCTGTTGTCGCGGCAGGGCAAAGTGGTATGCCTCGTGGCCCACCCAGTTCTTTGACTTGATCCCAGGGCTCCTTGACTGATTGAAATTTGCTCCTATCCAGCGCCTTGCCAAATGGTTTACGACTCTCTCACCCAAGGAGAAGGCCAAGATTATCAAAGATGTGACCCAGCTCGTTTTGTCCCGTCGGACCCGGATGTGCAATTTCCTTGAGTACAAAGGTACGCTCCTTGTTCCCAAGGATTGCCTTCGCACACTGCAGCATCAATGAATTGACTTTTGTTGTGTTCCTTTCTTAGACACGAAGGTCGTCTACCGCCGTTATGCCTCCCTCTTCTTCATCGCCGGATGCGCTTCTACCGATAACGAACTGATTACCCTCGAAATCGTGCATCGATATGTTGAGCAGATGGACAAGTATTACGGCAACGTTTGCGAGCTCGACATCATATTCAACTTCCAAAAGGCATACTTCATCCTCGATGAGCTTCTGCTTGCGGGCGAGATGCAGGAGAGCAGCAAGAAGAATGTGCTCAGATGTATCAGTCAACAGGATAGTCTGGAAGATATGGAGGTGAGTTGATTTTCCCTGACATCAAGGATCCCCTAGCTTCACACCAACCGCAACGTGCAGAGGTTGTGAGAGCAATGAGTCTCAGATCCCCTATTCCTCCATCCGCTTGCTTTCCTCCGATCGCGTTTATGTGCCCGAGACCTTCTCCAGCCCCTATTTTCATCACACCTCTATTCACTATATCTCCAAAACTATCGTTTCTTCATTGGGTCTTCCTAGCCTCATCCGATGTGAACACGTCACATGTCCGATTTAGGCTAATGTCGCTCCTCCTTCAGGTTGAGGAAGATGTGGTTACGAAGATCATGTAGCAACTGTTTGACAAGCGAGCGTTTCCCTGTTCATACTGTTTTCTTTGGGTGTTCGCTGTCCGCATTTTTGAGGGCAGTTCTACTGGCGTTTGGACGTACATAGGCGTTGTCTTCTACTATGCGACTTGAGACACTAATTAATACTACATTGGCCGGTTCCAGGAATCAAAGGACGTGATCGCCAATCTATCCAGCGAAGGGCTCATGTGAAGTCTGGGCTGGTCTTCACATCATCGTCATTGTTTGGGTCTGCAACAGTGTTTCCTTTGGACCCGTGAAGTAAGTGCGTGATATCACTGGCCGGTCGCAGTTACCACGTGACTACCCTCCCCCCCTTCGGACAACGCGCAAACTGGACCACCCCGTATCGCTGTTCATCAACCAGTCCCCTCTTAATCCCTGTTCCATCCTCGGATCCATTTGAATCTGTTGAGAAGGGTTGTCTCAGCACAGAAATCTCATCTGAGACATTCACAACCGCGCTCTGTCGGCCTATTTATTCGTTGCTTCAGCTGCCAGCGCAATCGCTCTTATCTCCGATCAGCGGTCAGTCCACCACGATCACTATCTTGACCTCATCCGCGCGGATATCCTCCATCGCGTCGAATCGACCTCTTTCTGTTTTCTCCTGCTTGACCAGAAAGTGACGCATTGATATCCGGCTCTTGCCCCAATAAGCTCACCAGCCGTCGCTTCTTATCTCTCCCAGATAGCACTTCACGGCATAACTCGAACAAAGATGAAGGTGCGCATTCCACATTGCGCCGATACACATCTTTACCGCGGGGCTTGTTCTGTTATACTGACATATGCGTCTTAATAGTATCTTCCTCTCCCCGAGCTTGAAGACGTCGCGAATTCACTTACCTTCGATACGGATGATTGTCACATCGTGGGTGGATGCGACCTGTATACGACAAAGGCTGCTCGCGCCGACCGGAAATTGTACAAGAACATCGAACAATCACTCGAAGCCCAATATGAATCAGTCCTCCGTCTGTCTGCTTCGCTTTCACCTCCCAATGCATCCGACGCGGCTGCTTCACTCAATTTGTCGCGGTCGAGTCCTTTTGGCCCCCTGAGCGATCACTCCAGTCGCCGGACTTTTGCCTACCTGATTGCAACACTCAATGCAAGCCATCCTGACTATGACTTTTCCCACGTTTTGCGCCCTTCGGATTTTCATCGCGAGAGAAGCCTAAAGAGGGTCATGAATACGGTGGACTCAACTTTGTTTAACCTGCGACCTCGCGAGTCGATTGACATGTCGCCCCCGTCTCCCGTGACGATATCTGGATCATACAATAGCGGAGCGTCTGCTCTTTGGGGCCCGAGAATGTGGAGAATAATTGACGAACATATGTCACTGAAGGAGTGCTCATACTATTCGTACTCGCCTGAAGAAGACCCATCGGATGCAGATGACGGTGCGATCTGGAGTTTGCACTACTTCTTCTTCAATCGCCTTCGGAAACGTGTCTGCTACCTCTACATTCGAGCGATCCCCATTCTCAGTCACACACCCGAAGAGGGCGACGGACTCCCCACCACACCCACCGGCAAGCGAACGTTTAATGAGGGATACATGACGCCTGATCTGGGTTCAAGCAAGCGAGCCCGTTACTGGCTCGGAGATCGCGCGAACCTCGAGAGCGAGAGTGAGGAGGAGGCTTCATCCCCGCCAACGCGCCCTGTTGTTGACGAATACGACAATTACTTGCTCAGCGACGAGGAGTTCCGATCGAGATCAGGTAGTAAGGGAACAGTTCGCGCCATGAGCGAGGAGATTGCCGACCAAATGGAAGTCTAATTCCGACTCGGTGATTCGACAACCTCTTCTCTTCTTTGTTCATTTTCATGATTGTTTCTACTCCTTTCTTTTCTTGTTCATGTTTCTACGGCGTTGGCCTGCTTCTTTTTTGCATTCAACCTGCATGTTCCGCGGCGAGGGGCGTTTGGTGACCGGCAACGGCGGTATCATGCCCCTTGTCGTAATCTGTGGTTTCAAGACTTGTTCTTCGGATTGATTCAACCTTGATAACGATTTTGATGCGCTGCATAGCTTGAAACCTGGTCTGGCGCACGTGGGTTTCATTCTAATGGCAGCAGCAGTGCTCTTCTCAAGCTGAAATTGGGCTATTCAATGTAATCTAATTACAATGAAATCTCTTCAGCTTCGAATTTTTCTGTAGATCCTTGGGTTCACGAACGTGACGACAATAATCCGGTAGTCATTATGACATGATTTTGAGACTGAACATGGTATAAGAAGCAGTTTGTCCATCTTCCTCGGTCTGAAGTCTTGATTCACAGCATCCTTTGCTCAATAATCCATGAGGATTTGGAGATCAATATTACAAGGCTACAATATCAAACAATGATAGGAAATGCTACGCTATCATCCCTCTGGCTATAACGAGATGTTCTGGTGCGTTTTATCCGCGAGATAGAGACCTACAAATGACCACTCCTGCATATGCATCTCATCCAATAGGCTCCACGACGAGATGTCTATTACTGAGTGGAAAATCCATGCTTGACCTGCTATGCCGATCCCATGCGTGTAGCTCGAGGGCTTGTCACTGATAACTTTGAGGCTGATCTTCCCCGCACTGGGGTCTGTGAAGATTGGCTTTCAGGAGGTGATACACTTTTGTAATGACCAATATGTCTTTTCCCCCTTGCAATTTTAGATGTTTCAAAATGAAGAAGAGATTTTCCTTTCATGGTGTACTGAACCGTAGATGGCTGTAAGTCAATAATAACTACGTCATAAGGTAGAGATGGTGAGAAGATCATGTGATGTTAGCATCGCTTCCTATTGTACTCCGTAGAGAGGTATCAATGAATCTTTTTCTTCTCTTCCAAGTCAGGACCCTGTTCTTTTCTATGTGGACGATGATGAGAAACCATCCCATCTATAATGATATCTTCAATGTACCACCAGATCTCTTCTGGGCGGAACAGATATAATATCTTTGGGCATGAATGATCTGAGTCCCTTACTTATTGAATAAAGATATACATCCAACAAGCGACGACTTCGGAATTCATATTGACTTAGGAGCTATCTACACGTACATATAGCATGTCCTAATCGTGATTCATAATGGGCAAGAAACCCTAGTAGGTGTATGTACGTTTGGAGTACGGAGTAGACGAGTAGTACTAAATGGCTATGGTCCGTGCACGTCTTGTGGATCGGGGAAAGCTGTCCGTTCCGTACACAACTAGATAAGGTCTCCTCCAATTCCTCCCCTACAACAATCATCACTGTGAATACCTCCAGACGGTTACTCACGATGGCGGACGAGGAGGAGCGCATCAAGGCCGAGAAGCTGGCCGCTGCGAAGAAAAGAGTAAGCCTGGAAATCCTACACGCATCCGACCTATGCAGTGACAACCCTTGAGGAAGATGGTTGACGGCTGATACTCTGTCGAACAGGTAGCGCAGCTCCAGAAGCAGAAGAAAAAGGCCAGCAAGAAGGCCGCCACCCCAGAAGCTCCAAAGGAAGCGGACACACCGAAAGAGGCCGCCACGCCTACCGAAGAAGCCCCCGCAGAAGTGAAGCAAGATGAGCCTGAATCGACAGAGAAGGAAGCGCAAAAAGAGGAGGAACAGCAAGCGGAGCCCGACACTGAATTAAAACCCGAGCCTGAAGTTGAACCTACAGCTGAGCCCGAAAAGCGCCCAGAGTCGCCAGTGGAACCCATGCCCGAGGCGCCTACGTCCCTTTCTCCAGGGCCGGATGCCGAGCCCCAGACTCAAGGCGTCAAGATAGATACCCCGCGCGCGGGTCATACTCGACAACCATCTCTCTCAATCCAGTCCAAGATGCGCTCGTCATCGTTCCGAAAAGGCTCAGTCTCTCAAGGAAGTTCTTCGACGTCTCCATCGAATGCCTTAAAGTCGCCATCTTTGCCTCCTTTGACCGGGAATGGTGACTCCGTGCACGAGGTCTATCGGAAACAGTCGATGCGGATAGAGGAGCTGGAGAAGGAGAACAAGCGACTAGAGAAGCAGCTGGAAGAGTCAACGAGTCGCTGGCGGAAGACGGAAGAGCAGCTCGAGGATCTTCGGGAAGCGAGCGTTGATGCGGCGGAGTTGAAAGATAAGTTGGAGAAAGCCGAACAGAAAGCGGCGGAGACAGACGAACTGGTCTGTTTTTTTGTCTATATCCAAGCAAGCATTGATAAGAAGGTTACTGACATAGTCAGCAGAAGGCAGAGATCGCCTCTCTACAGAGGCAGAACTCGCATCTTCAAAATCGGTCGCACCGCAACAATGCCAGCATCTCCGTGCCAGGTCCTTCAGAGTCGCCTCCTGCCGACCTCGTACAACAACTTGAATCCAAGTCAGCTACCATCGAGGCCATGGAACTTGAGATTTCCAATCTTCGTGCACAGCTCTCGGAACAGTCCACATCCAGCAGTGCTCACGAGGCTCAGATAGCGGCTTTGGAAGAGAGACTCTCCCAGAGTGAATCCGCTCTCGAGAAGGCTCAACGAGAGCTTACAGATACAAAAAATGCCCTGACGCGAGCCTCCGAAAAGGCAGTTAAGGAAGGAGTAGACAAAACTTCTACCGAGACACTAATCAAGAACCTGCAGCGGGAGATTGAGGAACTGAAACAAGAAAAGTCCGAAGCAGAGAAGAAGATTGACACGCTAGACAAGAAACTCCAAGCAATGGGCAATCTACACAAAGAGTCCGAAACCCGCCACCAGGCCCGTCTCCGCGAGAGCGAAAAGACCGAGAAAGAAGCAGCAGCTCTACGGAAGCGACTCGCAAACGTTGAAAACGAGAACCTACGACTGAAAGAAGACCTCGAGCGGCTCAGGAAGCGCGAATCCGGCGGCACAGACGACGACGCCCTCGACGAGCTGGAGGACGAGGAACGGTCGCGCCTGGAACGTCGAATCCGCGAGCTCGAAGGAGAGGTCTTTGATCTGCGCCGTGGAGTCTGGAAGGAACGGCGTGACGAACTCGCCACCGCGGACCAAGGGGGCTATACGGCGCCAGACTCGTCCTACACCAACAACCCGGCCGCCAACGCCTTCGACGACGTCGACCTCGTCGGCGGCTCGTCCGTAGACCACGCGCGACGCCGCAGCATGGCCCAGCAGCATTCGTCCTTCTCCACCGTCCTCTCCAGCGGCCTCGCTGCCTTCACCGGCGGTTACGGGAACCGCAGTCGGGCGTCGTCACACCAGCAGCATCCGCCCGCTGCTCGTGGTAGTCTCGAACTCCTGTCCGAGGAGAACTTCGACGATGAGTTCGACGAGACGGAGTTTGCGCGAGCGCAGGCCGAAGAAGAGGCGCGGAAGCGTGTGGAGTGGGTCCGCGAGATCAAGGGGAAGCTCAAGGACTGGAAGGGCTGGCGGCTGGATTTGGTGGATAGTCGGGCTGGCGCGGAGGGAGCCGGTGTGGGAATGGGCGAGATATTCGAGATCTAGATATTATGTCGTACATGCATTATAATCTCCAGCACCTTCTTAACAACCTTCCTCTCTCGGTTGACCCACATCGAGCAATTTCAGCCCTGTGCTATGACTGGCACAGTGACACTCTAAACTACAATAATGACTATGCTAAGGATATTATGAACTCGATCATGAGCCTCTTCGCCTTGGAATGGAAGAAATATACTCGTTTTGTGCTAAGAGAAATTGGATATCCCATGACTATGCAACGATGCAATATATGAACACCAGCACCGAAATGTCCCAAAACGACAGGAAAGACACAAAGCATCAACTGAACACATGCACATATATAGAACAAGCCCGAGGCAATATCGACTGGATTCAATCGTCCGCCTCGTGGCGCCCAGTAAGAACACCCTCAGACTTCCCCCTTCTCCTCCTCCCGAGCAGCTCGCCAACCCACCCGGACATCTGATACAACCAGCCACCCGTCACGATAACTCCGGAGACGGTATTCACTAGCCGCACGAGCAAGGACAAGAAACTGGTGCGTTCCTCGCTAATCATAAGCAGGATGGGCTCGATGTTGTACTTGAAGAAGATGCCCGGGACGAAGTAAGGGTTTTCGGGAATCGCGCTAAACTGGCTGGTCGCCGCGTACTGGTTGGTGAAGATGAGGTTTTTGCTGTGGCGGTTTGTGGGCGGAGCACTGGTGTAGGTGTCTAGTGCGAGGTTGCCTCTGGAGTAGATGGTTGGCACGATGGAGAGGAAGTACTGGTACTTGTAGTAGTGGTCTTCAGTTGTAGCGATGGTCTTGTCGAGGGGATTGAGGATAGTGGGATAGTGAGGGCCGAAGGAGAGCTCGGTGATCATGTGGGAGAAGTTGAAGGCTACGCGCGTCAATTGAATTTGGGTAAACATGAAGGAAGGAAGGAGAAACGTACTCTTGTGCTCCAGATGAGGTGCATTGTTATGGTACCCATGTCCCCTCGCCGTAATATGGAAATCACCCTGGACCTTGTTCCCCTCCAGACTACCATAAATCCGACACGAGTCAACAGGATCACCCCTCCGCAGCTTCGGACCCTTGGCGAACTTCTTCCGGGGATTCCTCCGCACCTCACCGAGAACATGGTGCACATGCGCGTCGGCCTCCTGCTCCGACAGACGATCGGCGTGCTCCTGGCTTAGAGTCTGGTACTCGTGCGCACCGCCGTAGGTCTCGTAATTGCGCTTGTCCATCCACAGCTTCCAGCTCGTGCGCTCACGTTTCAACAGCTCGCCGGCGAGAATGCGGTCGCCCGAAGCATCCTGGATATTCACATCCAGCGTGTCACAGGGCATGTTGACGACAATGTCCAGGTTCAGTTGCAGGTCATGGGAGATTCCTTTTTCAACGCTGAAATGGTGCTTCTCTGTGCCTTTAAGCCACGTGCGGAACTCGGATATCGAGAAGAAGGTGCAAACGAGCAAGATCAGGACCGTCCATTGTCCTCCGCGACGAGAAGGCGCTGTATAAGAAGGTTTTGTTTTCGCTAGAGTCAACACGACAATCGGTCAGCATCTACACAATAACCTGGACTGGGCCAGGCCGCTTCCGAACAAGGTTTGCGAAAGCGCACGGTCGAGCGAGCTCAGATTCATGATGAGAACTTACGAAAAGCATCGAAAGTCTTCAAGCCGCCTTTGAGGTTTGACTTCTCCCCAAATGCATCCTCGTCAAGACGGTGCGATGCGAAGCCGTTCATCACGAGTCGCAGCCTGAATTGGACAAATCAAGACATGAACGAGAGTAAAATGAAAGACCAGGTGTACAAGCAGCAGATAAAAGGAGCGTAAGTCAAATGAGCACAGCTCTGAGATAGCGGAAGAAATTAGTTGAAACAGACGACGAGGGGGAAGATGCGTACAGGCCAAGTATTCCAAAAGAAGTAGATAAACTCCGCACTCCGACGCGCGTTATCAGATTGCCTTATCAACGATGCTATCAACGAGGCTTGATCGGTTGCTTTTCAACCACGTCTTGCAAGCATCAACAGAAGTTCATAAATTATTCTCTATTTCATAGCAACTTCATGATCTCTATACTAGACGAGCACACCCCTCAAAGCTGCCTAATACCACCAGTAGCCACAAGCTCAGCAGAGCAAAGTCAACAATAGTCCCCATGACACCAGCAAATACTCCACAGATTAAGTCACAACTGTCCGAGGCGAGAATTGAAGAGATACATGGGTACTGATGAGAAGAATGGACATGAGAAGGCGTATGAATGTACAGACGCTTTATGCATAACAATGAAGATCCGTAGCGATGCAAATAGCCTCAAGGGTACATGAGAATGAGGTGATGCAAAGACACAAGCAGGCAATTATGACAGACAAAGGGATATGCATATGGTTTGGTCAGAGTTCCGGAGGAAAGGTCATGATTGTATCATAAATAAATGGAGACTGGTGACAAGCAGGAAACAAAATGGAAGGGTGGGGGAAAGGGGGAAAAGAGTAAAGGCATCATGGCAAACCACATGAATGTTGGAATAAGGGGGTATAAAATAAACTCTTGCTGCCTTGTCCGCCGCTCCAAATTTGTTTCACTTCAATTCAATCATGATGCGTGCGCAGAACCGCTGACGTTCTCGACCCGTTGTATGCAACTTGAAGATAATGAGACAGAATTAATATTACAGGCATGGGAGAAGAAAGAGGGAGAAAAGTGGATAGGTGGAATGGGGCGCATCATTTACTTCTCTATCAACTCGTCAGCTAAATGGCCTCGTGATTGAATCTTTATCGAGTCAAGTTACTTACCAGACTCGTCGCCGCCGCCGCAGTCGCGAGATCAGGCTTTCCACTGATGCTCCTGGCTGCAACACGGGGTAATGCCGAACCAGGAGTAGAAGTGGTAGTTGTACCTCGCTTGGCAGGAGTAGACGGTTGCAGGCCGCTCACGGTTGAGTGCCGTTTACCAAACGTTGCCGGCTTGACAGGAGAGCTGCCCGAGATGTCCCGACTGCGGATAAATGTACCGTTTTTGAGACTAGTTCCAGGTGGCTCCGGCAGCGGCCGTGCTGTGGGATTTGACAGAGTGGTAGCACGCTTGTTCGATAAGTTCGCCACACCATAGGTTCGAGAGCGTGTTGCCAGTTTGATTCCGGTGATGAACTCGTGTCTGAGCGCATCATGAGGGCTGAGGCGACGAGCGGGGTCCCATCGAAGACAGCGGGAGATAAAGTCGAGAAAGGCGTCGTCGTCACACTTCAAGACCTGTTTGAGATCCTTTGAACTGGGTCGTCGCCTTCTGCCCTTCGAAGAGACGGTGAGTCTAGGTTTGCCCAAAGAATCGAAGAATAACTTCTTCCGAGTGCTCTTCTCGATCAAATGTTTCTCGGGAGGACCAAACACCTCCATTATACAAGCAAGCTGCTCCTGTTCGTTTTCTCCCGGGAAGATGGGATAGCCGCTGTAGAGCTCTGCCAAAATACACCCCAGACTCCACATATCAATCGGCATGCCATAAGACATGCCAAGAATGACCTCTGGCGAGCGGTAAAAACGACTTTGGATATAGGTATACACTTTCTCATTTTCAAAACAACTTGATCCAAAATCGATGACCCGGATCTCGGAGCTCATGGGATGAACGAGAAGGATATTCTCAGGCTTGAGATCACAATGGATAACCTTCTTGGTGTGCAGGAGTGTCAGAGTGCTCAGAATCTGCTTCGTGAAGCGGCGAATTAGTTTGAGGGAGAATCCTTTAAAGTCGTGAGCCTTGATAAATTCATAAAGGTTCATTCCAAGCAGTTCCGTGGAGATACAGAGATGGCCCCTGAAGTAGAAGCTCTGTGTGAAATTGACCACACTGTGACGGCGATGCGGATCCCACTCCTTGAGTTTCTGGAGGAGGTTCACCTCGATCAGGGCTTGCTGGTGGAACCGTTTCTTGTTGCGAATGATCTTCACAGCAACCAGAGCTCCCGTCTTATGGTCGATGCATCTGACAACCTGACCAAAGCTTCCTTTGCCCAGAACATCAAGTACTTCATACCGATACGCAAGATGATCTCCAATCACGATATTGTAGTCACCACGATCATCGTCATAGCCGAAGTTCGCAGCTTGCGCGTTCAGATCGCCAACATGTTTCTTCGCATTTTGCGTTCCGCAGAAGTAAATATCCTTGAAGTCAATGATCTCTCCACGTTCGAAGATATTGAGACTGGCCATTTTTAGTGCCTGCGATGGGCTCACTCGCTCTTTCGGGCCTGCCTTGCGGCGTAATTCGTCCAGGTTTCTGGCGGCAGTCTCAAAGTCCTTGCGCTTGCTTGCGAGTCTACGCATCTCCTCGTCGGCTACCAGAACGTCCGAGTCAAGGCTAGAATCATGCTGGCGAGGGTTGGCCGCCGTGCTGGACTTCGCCGAATTGATTATCTTGTGTACAGGCGAAAGAATTGACGATCCGGATCGGAGTGGTGCTGCATCGCTTTCGCCGGAATCATTCGAGAGACTTGGCTCCAAAGCGAGACTCTGTTCACTGCTCACACTGGGGTTCCGCATTGTTGACGTGATCGCGCCAGAAACAGACGATTGACGTCTGGTCTGAACGTACCCGGGCTTGAGCGTGGGACTCGAACCTTTGACTGTGGACAAGTTATTCCAGGTGGCAGACGCTGGGAGTCTAGGCGGCGGCATTTGCTTCGCCGGATCCAGATCAGCACCTGTCTGATGTTGTTTGGAGTTGCTGCGCTTTCTGGTCAGAGTGATTTTATTGAACAGGGAAGAGCCAGAAACGCTGTTGTTGTCAGGGTCTGAAGGAGTAGACAATTGACTGATTGTTTCCGCATTCGAAGAGAATGCGGAAGATTGAGTTTGAGGCCGAGGCCCAGTCACTTTGTATGATTGAGAGATCCGTGGGGAATAATCCCCACTCGTGTTGGCCTTTTGTTGTAGGTTGCTAAAGTCGCTGCTACTCTTTGGCAACGTGTAGGAGACGTACGGGGAAATTGTTCGCGCACCACCGGTAGTATTATTGTCAAAAGACGCCAATGCACTGGAGCTACTTGCTGTCCTCAGAGGAGCAATTGATGAGGTGCTCAGCACGAAATGAGAAGTGCTGCTTCGAGCATGGGCGAATTCCATTGCATCGTCATCATCGCGAAAGAGGAAATTTGCCTTGGAGGCTGTCATCGGCGTGCTTGGAGTCTTGGAAATGACCTGGCCTGAAGGAGTGTAAGACTGCACATCGTCTTCGCGGTCTTTTAAAGCTTCGATCTTAGTGGCCATGGGCGTGCTGAGAGGCAACAGGTTCAACGGGGGCAATTTCAAGGGCTGCAGATTCTTCTTCCCAACATTGCTAACCGGAGTCTTGGCATCAGGCGTTTTCATTGCTCGCTCATCATGATGGTCCGAGGTATTTTTGTCATGACCACTTGCCGCTGGTTTGATCTCTGGGTCTTGGCCAAGGTTAGACCTGAGAAGGCCGATATCCAGCGGAAGACTAGACTTCCGCGGAGCAAAGTAGGTCTGCAAGTCGACATCGCCCTTGGGAGACTCATAAGCCTTGGGAATCGCGGGAACCGGAGGGACTTCTTCGTTGTTTCCCACCGTGTGTTCCACACGTGGTTTGGGGGTAGGTAACCGGGAAGACGATTGATTCTGGGCCAGTCTTGTCTGCAAGGAGCTGCCAGAATTCCTCGTAGAGCTATAGCTCGTGTTCGACGATAAAGACAAGCCAGAGCTATAGGATTTTCGACTCGGGTCGGGCGTTGTTCTCGTCGAGGATGGTGTCACGCTCTTTCGCGGCAGGCTGGACGGAGACTGGGCGCAGGACCGTGGACGGACAGGCAGCGAGTCTGGTTTGGTTGAAGGAGTATATGGCAATGGAGGCGCTTGCGGCACTGTAGAGATTCGCTTCATACGCCGTGCATCAGTGGGGCTTATCGTTCGAGCCCCGAGGCCTGTGGCGTGCGGGGGCATAACTGATACTCTTTTCGCAGATGAAGAGGGCGTAATTGCACTCCCGCCAGGATTCTTAATCGGCGTCCGAACGGCGTTAGTAGAACATGACCGGGAGTGATCGGTCAATCCAGATGCGGTCAGCAGATGGTCACGAGGTTCTCGGGAGGGTGGCTGGAGCGACTTGGCTTTCATGCTCCGAACATTGGAAGGGAGCCTCGTCTTGTCAAGACCGTTGGAATCGAGATTCTGAGCATGTGGGCGGAGACTCGCATGATCGGCTGGAGCCGTATCCACACTAGCCTTCCGAGCAGATATGCTCTGACGTCTTGCAGATGTAGCAGCTGAAACGAAGCCAGGGCCTATGGATTTACGAGGAGCGCGCGGAGCAGGAGCGTTCGCAGTTGAATTTTGGACAAGACTCTGGCGGCGACTCCGCGCAGCGGTGTTGGAAGCCGGAAGACGCGAAGATACCGATTCTGCCGAGGAATTCTGGTTCGATAAACGTGAAACCTCACTCTTTCTTCGCACGGAATTACTTCTTGACCGACTGGCGAAGCTGGATTCGCTGTTATCCGCCCATGGATTCCGCGAAAATGGACCTGGGAGTTGGCTTCCAGGGTTCGATCCCCCAGTGCCCGGCATAGGAAAGTGGTTTAGACTCGGCTCTGCCATGATGCTGTTGTGGAAATCATCAAAGTTGACGGGCGCAAGGAACTCCATCTGATCAGGAGGCGGATGGTTGTAGTCCGACTTCGCCAGATTCCCCATGCTGGTGGATCGAAGACTGACGCGAGAGTTGGTACTCCGTGTTGATTCATTCGTGGAGTCAATTGAGGAGTTTCCTGAGTGAAAGAAGGAGCCGGGCGCATTACTACAAAGCAGAAAGTTAGAATCTAATGGCCATCACTGAATATGGCAGGAGATATAGTCCATTCTTCCCAGTCGCACTAAAGGGAAGCACGGAGGCAAATTGGAGATTCTGAGCTCATACCTTCTGCGCGAGGGTTCTTGCGGCCGCGGGCCCTGTGGCACTTTCTGATCTAGAATCGACAGTCTTCTCTTGCTCATAACGCTTATGCGAGACCCAGCTGCTGTTTTTGAGGAAGGGGGAGTATCCGAAAGGAAAGGTGTCGATGCATGTTTATGCAAGCGTCTTCGTGCGAAACCCTCTGCTGTTTAAACCCGTATGCGTTAGCCACGGCCACTTGCGATTCAACAAAGGACAAAACCATCGCATGGATATTTTACCTCCAGATCCCGAATCTTCATTCCGAGGTGGACTGGTCGAGCCCGTTTGTCCTTTACGCAGCTGCCCCCTCCCAGGAGTCTGCTGCGACGGCAGCTTTTCTGGCATCCTAAGGCTTCGATTCCAGTATTCCCAGTAGCGATAGGGGCACGTTCAGGGCGATTTGTTGAGAAATTCGATGTGAACGAGGAGCCCAGTGACTTCTTCCTCTGCCAATGGCACACAAGCGTCACTGATTTCCCAGCCTTCAAAACAAAGGAGGCAATGACAACACCGTCGCGCAACCCGTCAACGGTCGCTACGGGTCCATTGCGGGGAACGAAAAGAGCCAGTCTCTTTTGCCAGAAGTCGACCACGAAAACTCAAACCGAAGTACGCGGCCAGATAGAAGGATTGACAGCGTGTTGGTATCGATTCAGGTTCTTTTCGAAGTGTCGACACAGGATTGTTGGTCCGCAGAGGGGGTACTCTTCGCCGTTCGGTTGGACTTGGCGTTAAGAAAGTTACGGGCGTATATAATGATGGGACCACTAGAGAGAGCCCAAGCAAACGGAAAGAAGAAAAGGGGAATTATTGTTAGGGCAACGAGGAAGGCACCCAAATCTGATGAAAGGAAAATATACAGATGAATGTCGTGAGCAGAAGCCAGCAAGACCACCCAGTGCCAGCTAGGAAAATGAAGCAGAGGAGAAAAGTCGAGGAAATGACAAAATATAATTATGGGTACTCCATAAACAACAAGCTGTTGTTGACCTCTGCTAGTACAATGGAGGACCTACCAGACACTAACTATCGCAAGTTTCTTAGTAGTGCGTGCCCCCTGGCTCCTTTTTCGCAGCTCCAGAGAGGCCTAATTGGGTCACAACAGTTGCAAATAGGGCAAACAGTGCTCTTCTGAGATTAGTGCATGATGTGTGGATTTTGTAATTCTCTGCTCCTTACGGCTGATCAAACTGTACGCAAATTACATGTTCATTACCCAAATCTGGATCTGACCCAGCTTCGGCTCATCCATATCAGAACGCATGTGCTTCTGTGCGGAGAGACCGAGCACTTCAGTCGACCTCGCCATCCGCCACAAGAAATGCACCTTCATGCTACACATCTATCCCTTGACGCAGATTCCAGCTTAGGGCATGATGGATGACGGTTGTACTGCAGAAGTTATTGCCAACCGCGATGAGCCCATTCCCGTCATCTCGGTCAAGAGACATGACACCAAGTCACATCGGCATGGCAGGTCAGAGTCTTTGCAAGACAAGTTATTCTCCAAGTTGGTACCCGTTCATCGCTGATATGAAATATGAGTCTTCTGAGGCGCTGAATAGACTAACAATGTTAATGCAAGGCTTCTGGAGCAAGTCATCCCCGCAGAAGATGTAGACAATGAATCAGTGTCGGGAGGCGACAAGCGTACGATTGCAGATGTCAAGCGGCCTGCCTTTAGCCTTCCTTTGATGGCTAATAATTTTCGTCGCTTCAACGCCAGGTATGTCAGATAAGATATTTATCAAGAAAGATTGAACTTGCATGTTGCTAACGGCCTTCATAGGATCGGGGTCGTTTTCCATTTCCAGAACCGAATTGAACGCCTGCTAAGCTGGAGAAAATCCTCCCATACATTTTCTTTCCTTTTTGTCTATTCGTTCATATGCCTGGATCCTAATCTCCTGGTGGTACTCCCCATCACTGTCATTCTACTCTTCATCATGGTCCCGGCCTTCGCGGCACGCCATCCACCTCCTCCTTCAATGTCTACTTCCAGCACCACACCATATTACTCATACCAGGGTCCTGCACTTGCGCCTGCAAAGACTATCAAGCCAGCGTCTGAGACATCGAAGGATTTTTTCAGAAACATGCGCGATCTTCAGAACGTCATGGCCGACTTCTCTGATGTGCACGATGCGACTATCTCTCTATTTGCACCCATGACCAACTTCTCGAATGAAAAGCTCTCATCCACTGTTTTTCTCATGCTAACAATCACTGCTGTACTACTGTTTCTGACAGCACATCTCTTGCCGTGGCGGTTTATTCTACTACTCGGTGGCAATGCGGCCGTCCTATCCAGCCACCCCGGCCTACAAGAATTCTTGCAGAACCTCCTAGGAGACAGTAGCGGCGATGTGAAAGCCGAACCGCAGGCTGACCGAGCGGGAAAAAAGAACACTCCAGACATGTATGGGTTGGCGTTGCCGTCAAACCCATCCGCCGCCGTAGCGTTGCTTGATTCATTAGCTGATATTTCTCTGGATTCATATCCCGAAGAGCGTGAGGTAGAGATTTTCGAGATCCAAAATCGCTCCCTAGCTCCTTATTCCGAATCAGAGTGGGATCATTTCATTTTCAGTCCGGTGCCATACGACCCCTTGTCACCGTCCCGAATCGCAGGAGACCGCCCGAGAGGATGTCGTTTCTTCGAAGACGTTCAGCCTCCACCTGGCTGGGCCTGGAAGACAAAGAAGTGGAAGTTGGACCTTGACTGCCGCGAATGGGTTGTTGAGCGCATGATCACCGGAGTAGGCTTTGAGATACCCGGAGCTGGCCCAGAAGGAAGCATGGCCAGTGAAGAGATTGGAGGCTGGGTTTGGGATCTACCTTCTCAATCTCCGTCCAGAGACGAGGACGCCGTGGCGACTGCACTAGGGTATCAAGATTATGGCTCAGCCTCGAAGCCCGCCTCAACTCAAGAGAAGAAGAAGATGCAGAAAGGTAAGCAGAAGTCGATCTCTCGCGATTGGGAGGAGCAAGGAAATTCAGGATTCAATGGAATGGGCGAATGGCGGAGAAGACGATGGGTTCGGGTCGTGCAGAGAGTCAGCGTGTCCTCCGAGATTGACAAAGATAAACCTTCGAACCAAGGAAAACCCTGATGCTTGTGATGAGTACACTGGACTAATAATGTATGACCTTGATTGAATGGGAGAAATGTTGTTTAAACCAAGTGGCTTGATACAAAAAATGGCTCGAATGGTCAGGAGTTCTGTGATTCGTCAAAAGATAGATAATATGTCACCTCTGCAATGATCCATTCCGAACCTCTGACGATATATCCATTTTGATCTTCGTTTGACTTCGTCATGTTGATCGCACACTATGCCTGATCCTTTAAAAAATACATTTATTCCCAATACTCTGCGGTATTTTACCATTCTAGAATTTCGAAGATGAACAAATTAAGCCTTTCAACAATTCTAGGTACCTGAGGCATGGCAAATCCTCTATTTTTGCACTCTCTCAAATCTTCTTCTAGCGATATCTATTCATTGAAAATATTGTTGGCAACATAAAACCATGTTTCATGTATTTTTGGATCAAGAAACAGTAAGGCGTGAAATGTGGGGAAATTATGCCTGAAGTCCCTCTGTTTTCTGCCTCCCAATTTCTTACCCAAAGATTGTATCATTTATCTGGTGCCTTAGGCATCTAGGCTTATTGCATAGGTATCCTTCCGCCTTCGTCTAGAGCAAGCTACGGGGGAAGCAGAGGCGCTCTGGACAACATTAAGACGAAAGCTTATTGAAGTATTTAAAGTATACATCTCAGTACTCAGGGATCGAAGCCATTGATGTCGCTCGTTCAAAATTATGGCGTGCTTCATTCATGCCATCCGATATGGGTATTGCACTCACAACACTCATTCTATATTGTTCATCCCGCTCTGACTTGGATGATGCTAGGACTCGGTCGATGCTCGACTGTCGAGATGTGCCATGCATTATTTCTCCACGATACCGACCATTGTCATCATAGTGGCTGTTGTAATTTACTTGCTCAGCCATTTTCTGCACCGCTGGCGTCCGGAATGGACGAAACCCTTCATCTCAGAACGTTCCCAGGAATGGTCAGAGTTACCAGCGGAGCAAATCAAGCAAAGGGTGGGATGGGTGATCAGCCTTTTCCTCATCACCATCGTAGGGCTCGCTGCTGAGGTCGTGAAAGAAATTACAAATGGCTTTGAAGTGGCTACTATAGCTCTCCTTATGTCATGGGTAAGATAGCCCGCGTCATTAGGGAACTTGAGCTGATTCTTTCCTCAGGCAGTGGCAGCTATCTTTATTTGTATAGCTCGTCCAAGGACATGTCCAGCTTGGATGCTTGCTTATTTCATCACAGAGCTTGCTGTGGAATTGTCATTTATCATGAATCATGACACGTACGCAGTGAAAAGGCTGCCTGCGTATTATGTTGCGGCCGGTGCCGCTTTGGCTGGATGTGTAACTATATTGCTCATGCCTCTTCGCGAGCCTTCATTTCCCTGCTATGCTATTGCTGCTGTTGGACAACCCTCATCCAGCGACTTTCGCAGCCCAGAAGACAATCTGAGATTGTGGCAATTCCTCAGTGTGTCATGGATGGCACCGCTCATCTCTATTGGAAGGAAACGACGATTGGACGAGAATGACGTCTGGTTCCTTGGCTTCGAATTTCAACATCGCAGGTTACATGAGAAGTTTCGTCGACTTAAAGGCTCAGTGATTGGTCGTCTGCTTCGTGCAAACGGAATTGATATTGCGATTGTTTCCACCATTGCAATTGTGCAGATGATATGCGGTCTGGAGTTCCTGTGCATCCCATGGAAATATTCGCTGATTTGATCCTCAGACTTCGCGACCCCAATCTTGTTGCAGCAACTCCTTCAAGCCATGCAGGACATGAGCTCAGGGAAACGTCCTGCCATGACGTATGCGCTGGTCACTCTCGTCCTTCGTGTGGTTGCGGCGCAATCGCAAGTTCTCAACCTTTGGTACGGTAGACGATGCTACGAAAGGAGCAGAGGGGAGATGATCATGATGGTCTATGAGAAGGCACTCTCCAGGAAGAACATTTTTGAGCCTCAGTTAGAACAAAAGGATGAAGGGGTCGCAAACGAAGAGCCTGACGAAGAAGATGCCGAAAATGAAGTGGAGATACCCAACCCCAAGCGAAGGAGACTTTGCGGCATATTCTCTGGGCGCCAGCAAACCACGAAAAAGGCGGCTAAATCGGCTGCCTCGATGGGCAAGATTTTCAACCTGCTACGTGGTGATGTCTACGAAGTCGCCCAGCGGTTTTGGGAAGTCGACTCCTTGATTGACAAACCTCTAGGACTTATCATTGCAACCGTGCTTGTTTGGAAGCTTTTTGGGCCATCATGCTTCCTAGGAATTTTGGCAATCCTGGTCGCTCAGGCCTTGAACGCCGTCATTACTCGTACGCTTCTTCGTTGGGAGAGAGTGCGGAGACTCGCAACAGATGCCAGACTTCAGATAACTTCTCAATTTGTCGAAGCACTTCGTCACTTGCGCTGGTATGGCTGGCAGGACCACTGGTACCGGCAGGTTATGGATGCTAGGCAGTTGGAGCTGAACCTTCGTATCACCACCAGCCTATGGAGCATCCTTATTCGCTTCGTGAACACTTTTGCTAGCGGCGTGTTTCCTGTGGTGGCTCTGTATGCCTACACTCTTCTGGCTGGTCATCCTCTCCGCATCGATATTATCTTCCCTGCCTTGCAGCTATTTACCATGCTAGAGACCCGCCTTAGAGATATCCCTGGTCTCATAACAGTACTGATCAATGCATCTATTGCAGTCGAAAGAATAGAGGATTTCATGGCCGAGCCGGACAAGGAAACATCTGCTACCGACCCCGCCGACTCTGCTTCGATTCACCTACAGCATTGCTCTTATGCATGGCCTGGTCGAGCCGTCCCGGTGCTCTCAGATATCAATTTGAGGATGACCGAGGGTCTGACAGTTGTTTCTGGTAAGGTAGGGGCCGGAAAAACGGCCCTACTGCAAGCGCTTCTCGGCGAGCTGGACAAGATTGGCGGCTCTTCTAAAATCCCCAATGAGATGGTGGGCTATTGTGCTCAAACACCATGGCTCCAGAGCATGAGTATACGAGACAACATCCTTTTCTCCTCGCCATATGATGAGCAAAGATATCAGAAAGTTCTGGATGCATGTGCCTTGCTTCCTGATCTCGAGAATTTCGAGCATGGAGACCTCTCTTTTGTGGGCGAGAATGGCATTGGCCTTTCGGGCGGCCAGAAGGCCCGCGTTGCGCTGGCGCGAGCACTTTATAGTACCGCTAGGATTTTGTTGCTTGACGATCCACTCTCTGCTCTTGATCACAACACTGCTGAGATCGTGGTTCGAAAGTGCTTTATGGGTCCTCCGATGCAAAATCGCGTCGTCGTTCTCGTTACACATCGTACCGCGCTGGTCAGTCATATTGCCGATCAAATAGTCCATATTGAAGATGGTCGAGCTACAATTCACGGTAAACAGGCTTTGTCTATGGATTCAGCCGCTGATGAACATGTTCAATCACGTTCGGCAAAGACGGCCCTGGCCCAAAGTGAGATTCAAGGCGCGCTTCGAGAGGCTGCGGCTTCGGCTCCGACACAGTTTATCGAGGAAGAGCACCGTTCGGAATGGGGTGTACAAGCCCGAGTCTATTGGAACTACATCAGGGCTGGAAGATACAGATGGTGGATTTCACTAGTATTCATCTTGGCCATTTATCGATTGACGTCGGTAGGACAATCGTGGTTCCTAAAGGAGTGGGGTGAAGCCTACAACCAAACTCTCCAGGCGTTCAGCCATTCTACCCCCGAAGGCAGATATTCCGCAGGAGAATGGATTGTACCGTATGGATGGTCCCAGGTGTTCCGTTGGAACCCAACCGATCCACTGGAAAACCTGCCAGCACCATTCGAAGACGTGCGTCCTTGGCTTCTGGTCTTCTTCGTGATCACAACGTTTCAATCGGCCATGCTTCTGTTTGCGCAACTCTTGATGCTGGTCATTGTCTACTGCGCAGGCAAGAAGCTCTTTCATGAGGTCATGGTTCGAGTGAGCCATGCAACTTTCCGCTTCTTCGATGTCACTCCTATCGGCCGCTTGATGAACCGACTGACGTCGGATATTGGAGTGGTCGACGGAAATATTAGCGAACAATTCCAAGCTATTGCATTCCAAGCCATCACCTGGATTTCCTCAATTGTGGTCATAGCATCGGTGACACCAACATTTCTTGGAGTCTCATTCGCTCTCACTGCGGCGTTCATTTTCACATTTCTTCAATTTCTGCCAGCGTCACAGAGCCTGCGACGTCTTGAGATGGTGTCTCTTAGTCCTTTGATCTCGAATTTCGGCGAGCTCCTGCATGGTCTGACGACTGTTCGCGCCTTCCACGCAGAAGAACGCTTCCAAAACAGAGTCATTGCGGTCGTAGACAAATTCCAGGGCATGGATCATTTCTACTGGTCGCTTCAAAGTTGGCTAATGTATCGATTTGAAACCCTATCAGCTGCGTCCACATTTTGCCTCACGGTTCTGGCATTATACACCAATGTCACTCCAGGTCTTGCGGCCTTTGTCCTGATAGCCGCCAACAACTTTGTCGTATCCACTCATGCTTTGTGCAAACAATATGGCCAGCTACAAATGGACTTTGTCTCGGTTGAACGGATCGATGAGCTGCTTCACATCGAGCAGGAGAATCCAGGAACCATTGATCCCCCGGCATCCTGGCCGCGGTTCGGGCAGGACCTCACATTCGAAGACGTGACAATTCGATACGCACCGCACCTGGAGCCTTCACTCCGCAACATTTCTCTTCGAATCCCCGGAGGATCCACGACCGCCATCATAGGCAGAACAGGAAGCGGCAAGTCCACGCTAGCCGTCTCACTACTCAGCGTCATTCGCCCCGAATCGGGCCGAATCGTCGTCGACGGCATCGATATCGCGCAAGTCAATACCCAAGCGCTCCGCACCCGCGTCACATTCGTTGCTCAAGATCCTGTTCTCTTCCCCGGTAGCATCCGGTTGAATCTCGATCCCACCGGTGAATATTCGGACGAGGAGTGTGCAGATGTGCTGAAGCGTATCTGTAGTCGGCATGGCTGGAATTTGCAGACGCACGTCGAAGCCGGTGGTCGCAACCTCAGTCAGGGTGAGCGGCAGCTGATCGGTCTCACGCGGGCCGTCTTGCGTCACAGCCCAATCGTCATTCTCGACGAAGCCACAGCGTCCATCGACCATGAAAGCTCCCTTGAGATTCAGCAGGTCATAAGGGAGGAACTACGGGAGTCGACGGTTATCACCATTGCGCATCGGCTGGAAGCGATCAAGGACGCGAATTACTATGTCGTCCTAGACCAGGGGCGGGTGTCAAAGCATGGCTATGTCAATGATCAAGGTATATCTCAGATCTCATCGTAGACTGGGAAGGATTAGAAAAACGTCTACTAGAAGTACGACAACAACTCATTCTCAGGCTGCCCCATGATGTAACATTTCGAATCAACATAAAAGAATCGTACACCGTACATATCCAAATCCCCGAAATGAATCATCACAGCAATTGTGCAAAACCACAGGCAAAATCACCATGACACATAGATTGAAAACGCCATTAGAAAAAAACCCGAACCACTAGACCCCAAGCATCAACAAAACATGAGCCACAACCCGCAGGAGAACAAGCAGCAGCATACTCCAACACGCTCCATCGCACACCATACTTCTCCCCAACCCGACATTAACAGCACCCGTCGCAGTGGCACCCCTCGAGCTCACAGGCCAACCACTCGGCGCAGGACTCGCACCAGACACAGCCGAAGGCACCACAGTAATGGAGCTGGTCCTACTCGCAGAAGCACTCGTCACCCCATATCCAGAAGAGACACGCTGACGCTCCGCACCATCAGAAATAACGACCTGTAGCACCGGCACCCCTGTCACCGCCGCCCCGTCGACACAGTCGCCCAGATTCCATGGGTTATACGGAAGGGAGCAGACTCTTCCCCCAAGCGACGCCTGAGATGGGACGAGGGTACTGACACCTCTCTTCACGTGGGGAGCCTCAGACGCGTGTACCGCGTCGATACCACTCTGCATGCGCGGCAAACTGCCTGCTTCGTCGCAGCTTCTACCGAGAGCGAAGAGGGGTGAGTCCCAGGTGCCGCAGAGAGTTGTCTCGGGGATATGAGAGATCTCGCCGTCGACCGAGTATCCCGTGCCGTTGAAAGCGCAGACCGCGTCTCCTGCGTGCTTGGACGATTCCCAACCTGAGTATCCACCGTTAGATACTGCCAAAGGAGTAAGCATGGGCTTTGGGAGACGTACAAACTGCCGCGCCGGTGTAGAGTGGTGGGAGGAATCTCGAGAGCCTGGATATCTGGTCAGTTGTTTTGCTTTCGGTAGTGGTCGGGGGCTTGAGTACATGGTATTGCAGGATCGGACTTCAATCGTGGTTGTAGATACGCAGGATATGATCGTTGAGCCTTTGAGCGAACCTTCTGGGCAGTAGCTTCCTCCAGGTTTGGAGCAGACGAGAGTGTTGCTGCTGGGATCGCTGCTGGTTGTCAGCTTCTTTCGTTCTCGTGGGCGTCATACTGGTAGGAAGGGTTGAGGGAGAGAGATTACTAGTCGACTTGGGCGCTTGCCAGCTCAAGGAGCATGAGACTGGCGCATAGGAGGAGGATCATGGCTAGATACATCTTCATGGGGTGTCAGGGCTCGGTATCGGTATGCTTGAGATTGAGTCGTCGGATGAAAGTGTAGACTCGCTCTGGATGGTCTTGACGAAGCGTGAGTGAAAGAGGTAGGATGGCCTGACTATTGGATTTACAGAGAGATTGAACTAGTACTAGGCTGCTGAGGTGATGTTTGTTGATACTGCACGCGTCGTGTTCTAGCAGTGAATGAAGCACGGAAGATTCCGGTACTTTTCCACCATGAGCCCATAGCATAGTTCATCTTCGATGTACTTCAGATTCTAGGAGGCTGACTCCATATCCATGATTCACGGTCTTAGGTGCTATAGTACCTTGAGTAAAATGCCTAGATGATGCATGGTACAACATGAGTTTCTATACTTGGGATTGACTAGATAGGAACACCATGAGATAGAATGGGAGGAGTCAAGAGTAGCCACTTAGGGACATCAGTATTCAGGCAGACTGGGGCTCGAGACCTGGCTGGGCAAGTTGTGCTGAGGTACAATGGATGCATTCGATAATCATGGGACTCTGTATAACAGACACGAAGGGGACGAGAATGACAAAAAGAACAAGAGAAGAATATTTCAAGAGAGCAAAACGAAACGGCCATAGACATCCGTCTATGAGGGCTGCCAATTGACCAGATCCGTCCCGGTACCGGTACACTGTGCAGTAGAAAAGGAGGTCTACACAGGCACCAGAACCGTATTCGAACGGGGGACGTTGGTGGCTACAGAAGCCCCGTGAGTCAGTGCTAAGACTGACTGGCGCTGACCCCTGCACCACCTGGCCCGGTTCATTGTGTGGTGCTGTTGCTAGAGGACCTATCTGTTGCAGGTTGGTTGCCAAATCGGGTAAGGACCGGTAGACCTGGACGGTAGATACCTGGAGAACAAGGCATCGAGACGCTGCCTGAGGGTACGAAAGCAGACTGGACACCGGATCCTAACTGTGACTCTGCAGTCGATATGCATACCTTCAACAACAATGTCAGCAACAATTCGCCTCGTGAGGTGTGCCTTACCAGAGTCTCCTGTGTTCAGACGAGCTTCAAGTACATACGAATGACGAAGTGGTTGTAAGAGATGGTCGATTCATTGTGGAAGCCTTCTGTATCGAACTCTGACTCTTATATTGAATATGGTATCTGCAAGGACATGAATGTGATATAGGTCTATATGTAACAGTTGCCGACCTGTGAGACAGTACAGCCCTGCAAGGCAAGTATAAACTGACAATCGAAGCCTAGACAACAACTTTTGATATCAACTACCCATCAAAAACGCCGTATGCGCCTGGAATGCATCAAGACAGACTTTCAGGAGTGGCTCGCCTTCCACTTGCGAATCCTCCGTTTCAGATCACCCTCGCTCTGTTGCATGGGATTCAACTTCCTATCACGAGCCATGGCGCTGTAGTTGTCTCCATGACGCTCGATCAACCTCATAATCCATTCCTCCTCCCGCTGGCTCTGGTGCCGGGGCTTCTTCGCCTTGACTGTCTGCCCTTCTTGGGCTGCCTGACGCTCCAGCTGTTGAACAATCGTGCTCTTGGCATTGGCTCTTTGTGACCGGGTTCCGGCTTCCTCATCCTCAGACAAGTCGTTCAGTGGGTCGTTGAGCGGATTCGAACGTTTGATTTTGCGGCCGCCAACTTCAATCTCCTCTTCGTCGCGAATCACTCGGATGATTTTGCCGGTTTCCGGATCGCGTTCCACCTTGGTTTCCCCCATGGCCGCCTGCTTTGCGGAAGCTTTGGCGCTGCCCTTGATGTGCAGGGAATCCTCGGGTACCTCTTCGATGCCGCCATCTCTGGTTGGCCGTTTTTCGCTACCCCCAGCTGGAGCATTAAGTTTGTGAACGAGTCCCAAGCGGCGGTAGTTTTGTGTCAGAGTCAATTTGCGATCCCTATTGCAGCGAACGAATGTCAGTGGCAGATCTTTGATCGATTCCAAGAATTGATAGTTCTTACCAATTTTCAGCGATGATGGCATTTCCCAGAACGTTGATCTTCTTCTTGCCGCTCTTCAGCTGACCGGTCCTCTTGGGCTTCTGTTTCGGCGTCGAGGACCGGTTCTTCTTCTTTTGTAGCACACGACCCATCCTGCTTATTCCCTTGAAGCGATATGTCAAAAGGTGGTGGACAATAAAATTCCATGGCGGTTCATTTCTTATCGATTTCTCCGAAACTTTTTAATGTTTGCATCTGAAGGCTTGGCGTGTTTGCCGACATTAGCTCCACTGATAACGAGCTGTCTGATATCTACATATCTTACTCCGTACACCCTTAATCAGGGAATTATCCTCGAGTATCTCTGTCCAATCGCTCTTGCTGCAGTTCAGAATCTCACGAAAGCGATGACACTCAATTTCTCCTCTCCTGCGCGCAGGACCGGCCTCGCTCTCGTCGCTGGTCTTCTCTTATTCACTGTGCTGGCGGCTGCGACTGTTGACAGTGGAAACAAGATCCCGGTGGGCGACCTTTCCGTAGCCGAGATCGAAGACAAATTGCAGGTAATTGCGCCTCAAGCTTCTAGTCATTTGTGATTGTTTGCGATCAGTAATAGAGGCTGACTTCCTCAGGAATGCCCACTTGTGGAAGCTCTCAATGAGCACAAGCGTGCGACCAGCCCACCAACAGCCAGTTTGATGTCGAGGCTCTTTGCGATCCTCTTTCCAGGCAGTCCCGCGGTCAATGCCATCCTGGCTACTGTGTACATCTCTGGACCTCCCAGTATGCTCGCTTCCAGGAACCATGTCATTACCGTGCCCAGATCTAACAGCTACAGACTTCCTCCTGGCACTATGCCCACCGAACATCGACCCCTCATCTTTGTCCGTCATGGTCGCCTTCGCCGTCGGAGGGCTTTTAGGTGACACCTTGTTTCATCTTCTCCCCGAGATCTTCCTAGGCGAGGACTCCCCGGAGCACGTGCGCTTCGTCATGGTCGAACCCAACAGGAATCTCCTCCTCGGACTAGGCATCATGGTCGGCTTCTTCACCTTTGTGGCCATGGACAAGGCCCTCCGCATCGCAACAGGAGGCGAAGGACACGACCACTCCCACGCTCACTCGCACGCACACACCGACAGCTCCTCCCACGGCACAACCACCAGCTCCACCACTAGCACCGCCAACACCGAGCTCCGCAAGCGCAAACCCGACCGCTCCACCCCCGCCACCAAGCAAGAACCAGAAGACGAGAAAGAAATCAACCCCAGCGTCAAACTAGGCGGCTACCTCAACCTCATCGCCGACTTCACCCACAACATCACCGACGGCCTGGCAATGTCCTCCTCCTTCTACGCCTCCCCCACCATCGGCGCAACCACAACCGTCGCTGTCTTCTTCCACGAAATCCCCCACGAAGTCGGCGACTTCGCCCTCCTCATCCAGTCCGGCTTCTCCAAGCGCAAGGCCATGGGCGCGCAGTTCGTCACCGCCATCGGTGCGTTCCTTGGTACATTCATCGGGATCGCGATCCAGGAGTTGGGAGGCGGGCACGGTACGGCGGCTGGTGGTGTGACGGAGGCATCCGCCGGGCTGCTGGGGACGAGTCTCACCTGGGGCGATATGCTCCTGCCTTTTACTGCAGGGACGTTCCTCTACGTCGGGACTGTGTCGGTCATCCCGGAATTGCTCGAGACGGGCAAGGACAAGACAGTCGAGATCAAGAAGACGATTGTGCAGTTTTTGGCTGTTGCTGTCGGGGCGGGGATTATGCTTGCGTGAGTATTGGATTCCGGCTTGTTGTCAGCATTGAACTAACACGTTCTGCTATGCAGTATCTCCTGGGATTGAGGTGGTGATCTACAAGGTGTGGCAGCTGCGGCATTGTATACGGATATACTTGACGGAGACATAAGTGATAAGAATTAAAAGTACTTGAAAGGATGTAGATATACCGAGCATCGAGCAGTCGATGAATACCCGGCCAGAGAGTAAAATTGCTTGAAAATGATCTAGCTCTTTCATCTAGATAACCAATATAAAGACCTGCCGACTCCGCATGCCATAATGCTGGCGCCAAAACTCCATCCACCAGATGAGATCTGAAAGATTTTATCCTAAATAGTGACGAAAGTCGCGCAGAGCGCGCTCGATGGATGTAAACGCGTATTGCGTCGACGAAACCGAAAAGGCAAGAAAGGTCTAGTATAACATCGTCCCAAGGAAACTGCATCACTCGTTTTGGTGGTATACCTGCAAGAATCATTAGCATCCCCCGCGTCTTCCAGGGGAAAGGCAACTGACAAAATAATCCGGCAGGCCATACACGGAGTACCCCAGCCGCTTCGCCATCTTCGCGAAACCTTCCGTTTCGACCAGGTGGTAGAAGGGGAAGGCAGGGAACATCGCGCCGTCACGGTGAACCTCCGCCTTAACCATAAGCGCCGTGCCACCCACCCCGTCCAGCTCGATGACCTTCTTCGGGTTCGGATTCATCGTATCAGCCAGGAGAGCCATCAGCGTCCGGTAGGTCGGCATCTCGGCGTAACCCTCGAGCAGGATCTCATCGGGCCCCATCTCCGCCGCCATACTCTGCGCCGTACTACTATCGATCCACGAGTTGTAATCGTACGGCCGGACATCCATCTTCTTCTTCTCGGAGTTGTAGTACCGCTGATAGCAGTTCGGCACGAGGACGGGGTAATCGTGCTCCGTGAGGTCCTCAATCAAGCTCGGCGGCGTCTCGACGATATCCGCATCGAGCCAGAGAACCCACGCCGTGGCGGGGCCAAGCGTCGTAAACAGCAGACTGTTCCGGGCGCGGCTCATCGACTCCCGGCGCGCCTTCTGGTTCGCTATCTTGTGCCGCTCCTTCTCGTCCTGCGACTGCAGGGGCGGCTCGAAGTCCTGGCGGAGGATGGAGATGCTCGCGAACCGCTTGTCGACGGGTCCGGACTGCGTCTTGCCGATGGCGTCTTCTAGTGCGGCCAGGGCCGCATTGCCGTCTTTGTTCTTGGGGATGATGAACCCGAGCGAGATGAGCTCGTGCGGGTAGGTCAGTTTCACCACGTTGTTCCAGTACTCCGGGACGAAGCGGGCCATCGGCGTGAGGATCAGGATTCGTTCGCCGTTGGCGGCTGAGTTGCTGGTGCTGGTGAGTCGGTTCAGGTCGTACTGGACGACCGGGGGAGGGGCCTTTTGGCCATTGTGGCGGACGGGTTGGGATTTGAGGAAAGGTTTTGTCGGGGGTGAGAGGGGGTTTTCGGCGGCGTCCTCTTCGCGGCGTTGCTGGGAGGAGGAGGAGGCGGCGGAGCCCGCTCCAACGGGGGAGGCAGAGGAAGGCGAAGGGGAGAGCAGGAAGATGACGAATCCAAACGCCAGTATGGCCGCAAGGAGGAGAGTGATTGGGTTCGTGCGTCGCATTGTGCGGGCAACGGCCATTTCTGGCCGTATCGACCGGTGGAAACGAGCGAGGGGGAAGCAGAAATCGGTATGGTTGAGTTGGTGACGAGGATGCGAGCTGGCTGTTCAAATTGGCGATCTTGATGAGGACAAGTCGGAAGATCTGGACTGGCGGAGATGTGGGCACAGGGAGATAGTACTTAGCCAGCAATGAATTCAATTCTCGACCTGCGCCCCGACATAGCGGAATTGACGATGGACAGGTTAGATTTCGAGGTAATCCTGCTGGCAGAGTAAACGAGGGACGGGAGCCGGTGATGATGAGAAGATGAAGCGATGGTCTGGGCTATGACCGCTGGCTCTGACCTCACTGCGTTGCAGCCGGAAAAGAACACGCGGACCGACTTTGCAGAATCGCAGCGCAATCTCCCTCAGACTGGTCGATGTCTGATCCCACAACTAGCCAATGAGCGTCAAAAAGCGTTTGTCTCGAAGATGAAATGTGGAACAGAGCCGAAATGTCTGTTCCTGCGCGAAAGTATGCTGAATGCGGAAATGTTGCAGTCAAGCTGACCTCCACCGTTGCACCTCCAGCACTGATCATCTGGCTATAAACGACACACTATGTTCGTTGCCGATTGGCTTTTGGTATCTCTTTATGCTATATACAAAAGGTCATCTAGTCTATTATTGTTCGTTGGGCCTGATTGCCTGATTACATCAGGCTCACGGCAGCGACCGCATCACACCCTCAAATGCAACCAAGGCCATCGCATTCGCCGGGAATGCTCGTAAGAAACAGGGCACGAAACCCCTCCAGTACCCTCTCCATCCTCGCTCTTGATATACCGCCCTGGCAGCATCTTTCCACCGGCGGAACTTTCTTTCCCCGTCACCCAGCGCTCCACCCATCGGGTCCGTCATCAGTCGCTGCTTGACCACATCGGACGGGTACGAGGTCAACCAGAAAATCTGTGCCGATATGCCCCCAGCCCAGAAATTGATTGCTGGTGCCGACATCGCGGTGTTGTCTCTCATCCATCGCGTCAGGACGTCGTAGGATCCCCACCAGAAGAAGAAGAACGATCGGAAGAAGATTGTCGCGCAGAGGCCGCGGTACAACCCTGCGATACCGTGAGTGCGCAGCTATGCTGCGGTCAGCCAACGTTCCTCCCAACACCCTCTCGACTTCTCAATGACTCACAAGCTTTTGTAAACAATCGACCGGCCCGCTGTACATTCGCTTCGACTTATCCGCCGCATACTGAATCTGCAGCCGCGCCTTGATGTGCTCCACCGGAGCCGCTATGAAACTGACGGTCGTACCGGCCAGGATACCAGCTATCCCATGCCCGAAACTAGGAAGCGTTTTGGGATCAGGTTGATAGCTCGCAAACGGCGTAAGAGACCGGATAGCGGGGTTCGAAAAGACATTCTCGAGCAGTAGTCGTCGGTACAGCGTCAGGGAACCGAGCATGCTATCCCACGAATCAGACCCGAATCGCGCATCGTATCCATCAACGACGAAGATACTCACACAGAGTCCATAACCATCCAACCGACCAGCGGCGGCGTGGCTCCCTTGTACAGTCCACTCACCCCCTCCTTCCGTACCGTCTGTAGCACACAGTCCAACGGCCCCTTGAAATGCCTATCCTTGCTCGTCTGTAATCGCACCTTTACCGTATCGAAACTGCACACAAGCCCATCAGTCGTAGAACACTGTAATATGAGTGGTCACGTCACATACGGATGCCCAACTACACCATAAAACGGATATCAGCTCAGCCCTGAACTTCACCAACAAAAAACGTCCTACCCAAAGGGGAAAGGAGGAAGGACATACCACTCAACTTCGCAATCCCCGAAAACACCCCCGCTACGAATCCCTTATAGTTACTCTTCTTCTCCGTCGGAACCGACGCACCGGCTGCGCTCTGGCTTCCGCTGGCCATATCGCCGGGGACCGCTGCGTCTACCGGCGAAAGCGACGCTTGCATTGACGACATCTATCTCGCACTTTTGATTCCCCGGAGACAGTTCGCGCTGACAGGGTGCAATGTGTGGTGATGCGACTGATAATTGCGAGGGACAATATTCAAAATCCGAGGCGGTATCGGAGATTCGGCGTATGGGGAAGCTATCGATCGATCGGTGTCTCATCGAGCGCGGTGCTCTGCTCAAGGAATGAATGACGGAATGGAGGTTTCGATCGATTCCGTGCCGCGATAGGATGGAACTATCTTTCGATTGCCCGTCGCAAGACCGGAGCAGACTATCAAATGGACCAAGCAGGAAGGGAGACCAAGTTATAAATTCCAATGGGGATGATTTGCGCCCCGCAAATCTGTGGTTCGGACTTCGGGGAGAGATTGCCCAGCTCCGGACAGCGCCTCTGGTCTTGGTTGGCCGATTGTATCAACTAACTATCTAGTCTTGAACAGTCGACTCTAGATCGACGGACAGTGGAGTCATTAAAACAAAATCTTAAGCCAAGTGGCAGTCTGAGATTCTCTAACAATTGACCGATCCGGCAATAATTCGTCCTTTCAGGACACAATATGTAAATACAGAGCAGAAGCAAGTTCCCCGCAATCCGTCGGAGCCAAGGTACTAAGACAGAGGTAGCAATAAGAAATTCTAAGCGCTCTCTGTTTGAACGAATTTGAACATCGTTTTCGAGTCAAGCAGGACAATTTGATCTGGCCGTGTGCGAGTGTTATAGGCGACAGAAGAAAGAAGAGCGGGTCTGGGTGCCACAAGGTGACAAAAGCAGTAAATCAAGGCTGTATGGGGTATAAAATGAACACAAAATAATACAGGCTTAATTGAGCTCTCATGTAAGAGCTCATCTGACGGACTTGGGATAAAAGGAAAAGTTGGAAAAAAAAAAAAAAAGAAAGAAAGAAAGAAAAAGAGGGAAGCTTACATCCCGGATAGTCGGCCGGGAAGTGAAAGACGGCGTTCACAAAAGAGGGACAGCACTGATCACCAACCCTGGGAGCTCTTTCGCGACTTTTGACGAGCCCTGTCGGCTTCTCGAGCGATGAGCTTCTCGATCAGATCTGGCGCAGCGCTGGAGCTTTGAGAGTCGCTCGAAGAAAAGTCTGAACTCGTTGCACCGATGGTCAAGTAGCCTCCGGTCTCCTCCAGAGCCAATGGAGTCACAGGTCCCGGGCTGCGCAAAGGGTCCAGCCTTGGGGCAGAGGGACTCGGTGAGAGCGGTCGAGAGGGTGCCCTGGAGAGAGTGACGCTTTCCACCAATTCTCTGTATTGCCTCAGCGTGTCACGGGAGCTGGACGACGTCCAGTGCGACTGCTGCCGAGATTGGCGGGGCGACGGAGGCTGTGCGGCCAAACTCTGGGAGTTGTTCGAGGGCTGGTAGACAGCGGGATGGAACCGAGGCAGGCTGCCGAGATGGAAGGCTGGCACCGACTTGGCGGAGTTGTGAGGACGGGAGCGTGTTGGCTGTGGAGATGCGGAGCGGGTTGAAGGTGACATGCTGGGCGACATGACTGGCGAGTAGAACGAGGAGCTATCAGAACGCATTCTGGATGATGGCTGTTGGTATGAACGGCGGCGGTAGCGGTCACTGTCCAGCCGGGGCACACTCTCGCGGTTCCTCCAAGTCTTGGTGGACTGGTCAGACTGCGGGAAGTAATCCTTTTCAAAACGCCCTGTCAACGGGGTGACGGGCAGATCTGTATCGTAAGGACTGCTCGGCGGCTTTGGTATGGGAATTGGACGCGAGGTGGAACGACTGAGGATGAGAGTATCAGGTAGTTCCGAAATATCTGAGGCAGGCGAACGAGGAGACAGCGGCGATGGTGGATTATATGTGGACGAGGTCGCTGTCAAGTCACGCAAGGACGACAGTGAGACTCGAGTGGGGTGACCGTGCTTGGCGATTAAGCTTTCCAGTTGATCTCGGGCAGAAGCAGTTGATGGCCGATGGGAGGGTGACCAGGAGGACGGCGAGAGATTGGCTAAGAGCACGCGATCAGTGCCAATGACCAGACATGCCACACGTGTTGGGTGGAGACTGTGTCGACGGTGCCAACAAAAGGGGGGAAGTAGACAAATCAATCAAGGGATAAGATGAAACGAGCGGACGGCTGGCATCTAATAATGCGGCAATGCCAATGAGAGCAATGGATAGTCCGCTAGGAGGGGAGATTGGTGGTGAGAGAGGTGGAGAAGAGGGGGAAAAGAGGCATCTGTATGGTCGGACGGATTGACCGCGGGAATGCGCTTGAACTCAGACGCAGAGGGTATGGAGTGTCTCTGATGAATCAAACGGACAATCACTTACTGCTGAGCAACGGGGGGGAATGGATTGAGCTGCAGGAGGACGGATAGAGAGGAGAGGAGGAGGCGGAAGAGGCCGAGAAGGAGGACGGTGGAGAGGCCGCCATTGAGGCTTTTATCCTTTTTCTTCTTAGGCGAGGATAATTCTGTCCCTGGCCGCGGAAGAGATGAGCCCACATCAGCCTGCTTGCCCGACTGGGTAAGTGGAGAGAGATGACAACAAGGAAGAACGGAACCAGGCACAGGAACGGGCATCGAGATGGTGCCCCGTTTCTTCTCAGATGCAGCAACAGCCACAAACACGATTTTACTAAGGTAGAGAGAAGCAGGAGGGCTCGATGCTCAGTATGAGGGAAAGGGATCCCATCAACTTCATCATTTTGCGGGGAAGCGATCGAAGAAAAATCAGATTGTAGCAAAGATAGCAAAGAGAGTCAACAAAAATATCTGACACAAAAACAAGTCGTGACATGGCGTCATGGAGGGAGCTGCGGGTACGACAACGCAAAATAGCAAAAGAATTGAGAGGGCGGGAGGGGCAGGTATGGTACGGTACGGTACGGCTACAGCCCATGGTACCACCCGCTGAACCCCGGGTATTGGTGCATTTTGCCCCACTCTTTGCCCAGTCCAGTGTCCACCGCGCAAGGGGTAAAGCAAAAGAACAGGGACATGCCTGCCCTCTGCCCTCTCGCAAGAAACAGAAAAGGCAGAAAGGGGGTCCCAAGGCAAGTACAGTACAGTGCATGCAGAAGACATATCTCACTCACCTGCGACATGATTGCAGGCCTGAGTCAAGAGATCCTGGCAACGGTGACCGTGGATTGCTTTACCCAGGCTACCCCCCTTAGCCTGGGAGCTGATTGGTTTCTGACTTGGCGAGGATCTGACGGGCGCTACCTATTTTTGCTTGCCGTACGAACCGAAAATAGGAAGACAGTCAAATTAAAAACCATCCGATGACGCAGCCCAGGAAATTTGTGGCTTGAAAAAAATGTTGTTTGAGTGAGTGATCAATGACGACCTGTCAGGAAGACGAGCGGTTTTGAGGCCAAAGTGATGTGCAAAAGACGTTGAAGATCCGTTGTCAGTACTTGTTAGGAAGAAGAGGAAAGGTAGAGGCAAGTTAGGTAGGTAGAAGTAGCATAACACAGACGACGCATATTAGGTCGTACGACGGTCAGATGCAAGTCGACGAATGAGGGGCTTAGTCAACTTGGGCTCGCTAGGAAGGACAGAAAGAAAGAAAAGTCTCAGCAGTGGCAAGGTCTGACAATTCAACAACAGTCTGAGCCAACGAGACGGGGTGAGCTCCATCCTTAAAAGCTAAGCGGTTGCCTTTGGGAGCATCGGGATTTGTCTACACCATTCACCAAGTTTCGCAGATAAAGGAGCATTGTAACCACACGCGCAAGCAGCGGATGACCCCGAACCCTACTCACTGAGCTAAAAAAAAAGGTGTGGGAAAAACAAGGCAGAGGCAGTCATCACAATCAGCATCACAGTAGGAGTGAGTATGGAACTTCACTTGAGAATTATGCTGGACAGCTGGATGGCTGTGGATTTACTGCATCTGGACATGAATTGAAACCGTTTCCCACCATCAAAGAAGCCTAGAGACCGATAGTGGGACATGGTCGATCTGCCGGGGTCAACAGCGATGATGACTGGCAGACTGGCAGTGCTGGCTACGCCTCTTATTAGTACTAATTGAGACCTACTTTCTGAAGGTAGGTGGGCAAGGAGCAGTGAATACAATGCTGAATGAATAGAACGATGAGTATAGACAGGGTTGAGTACTGCTAGTGCCGGTATGAGGTTTCCATCCTTATGCTAGAGTCAGTCCTTGAACACTCCATTCATTGCTGACAAAATCTCACTTCATACAAGCGATTGGAGAATCCAGTCAAATCACTTCTATCGACAACGTCAACTGCCTGACTCAATGGAAGTCAGGGAAGGGGATTGATATTTGCTTTTTCGAAGACGATTCCCTTTTGGTCAAGGATATTATTGTTCGGATCACCAAGGGTAAATCATCCACCAGGCGATCAGCCGACTCGTCCACCACCGTCACATCATGATCCACCATCACCACCACCACCTGAACGTCCTCAAAGTTCGGACTTTGGGATTTTCCTGGCATTTGTTTGGGTAATGGGCGACTCGCACTTAGTCCGTTCGTCATCTAGTGCATTAGATTTCAAATAAGATCCAATAGTCATGAGCGGAAGTCTGTTCCAAGTATCTGAAAGAGAGCAATGACCATGATGGTTTATCGCCACAGCATGCCCTAGAAAGTGATACCGCACAACGAAACTAAGTCCAAGTGCAACCTAATGGATATCTACCTACTCGCTGAACAATGAGTGTGATTGGTAATCAATTCGACCCTCAACCTTCATGGCTGGGAAATCCCCTGCGTAGCTACAGCCAGCTACAGCCTTCTGAACGCGCCAATCCGCTGCTCTCTTCCCAGATTCTATCAACTCAATCACAGCCACAGAGCCGTTCGAGCAAAGCTAAGCCGTGCAAAGGAGGGAGGGCAATGCAAGATATTTGCGCGTCTCGCATCCACACAGTCCCGTGCCGCATCTTTCTATTTTAGCACGATCTCATCCGGGTTCTGCAGAATCCGGAACATCATACCGGCCAGTCATCCTGATTTGATTTCTGGACGGGTTCTCGCATGACCTAGTGGGTGTGGTGACTGCTGCGGCCGGCTGAGCACTCATAGTATCCCTCCTTGTAGCAGGGACCTTGCAAGTGATTCACTTGGGACTCAGGGCTCTAGACAGCCGTCTGGGATCTGGAATGGGTTTGGCTCCAGGGATTGTGGAATTTCCACTGCATACTGCAGTTGAACGGGTGCTTACTGCAGGTGCTGACATGTGCGCGATACCCTGGTCCTTGAGTCATATTATTGACCGGTTATCCTAGGATGATTGTGATAGTCTATGTGACCAGGGATGAGCTAGATGATTCTTTGGCATTATGTTATTGGAAGATGGGACACATCTGGTCTATGATAGCAAGACATTCGGCTTGGGAACTAGTGGTGGCCTATAACCTTTTTCGGTTGATAGAGATCATCAATACTCTTGATTTCCTCCTCCGTGAGCTTGAACTCGATCGCCTGAATCGCCTCGTCCACTCTCTCCTTCTTGCTCAATCCCACAATCGGCGCAGTAATGAACGGCTTCGACAGCGACCACGCAAGGCTCACTATGGCCATTGACACACCGCGGTTGCTGGCAATCTCCTCTATCTTCTCGCTGATCTGTTTGTCCGTCTCGGTAAACGCGTGGCCCATTAGTTTGCCATTCAGCGATCTCCCTCGCGTAGTTTCCTCAAACGCCTTCCACGGCCGGGTCAAAAATCCCATCGCAAGCGGACTCCACGGAATCGCACCCATCCCGAACTTAGCGCACGCAGGAACCATCTCCCGCTCCTCCTCCCGGTAGATAGGGTTATGCAGATTCTGCATGGAGATGAACTCGGTCCACCCGTTCATCCGCGCCGTATACTGATACTCCAGCAGCTGGTGCGCCCACATCGACGAAGCCCCGATATACCGCACCTTGCCCGACTTGACCACATCATGCAGCGCCTCCATCGTCTCCTTCACAGGCGTGCTGGGATCAAACCGGTGGATCTGCAGCAGATCAACATACGGCAGATCCAGCCTCTTCAGACTCGCCTCGATACTATCGAAGATGTGCTTCCGGCTGAGCCCGTACTCGTTCACGTAGCCGGCATTGTCGCGCTCCTCGTTCGACATAAAGAGAGGATAATCCTTGCCGCGACCGACAGGCGCCCACACCTTGGTCGCGATGACGATGTTCTCGCGCCGCCAGTTGTACTTTTTGATCGCCTTGCCGAGAATCACCTCCGAGTCGCCGTTCGAGTAGACGTTGGCCGTGTCGAAGAAGTTGAGGCCCGATCGGTAGGCGTGGTCCAGCACGGGGAGCGCGTCTTCTTCGCCCATTGCCCAGTCGAAGCGTTTCTCGGGGCTGCCGTAGCTCATGCAGCCCACGCAGACGGGGGAGACGCGGAGCCCGCTTGATCCAAGCTGGACGTATTTCATCTCTGAGCAATGAATTAGTAACTTTGTGCTTGTGGCTTCTACACGAACGAGCCTGCAGACTGATGATATACCATCTGCTCTCACCGGACTTAGCCAGTTGTTTATATCCTATCTCCGATAATGGCTGGTCATCATCCATCATGCTCCGGTTTCACTTGCGCAGGAAACAGGAAACTGGAAAGCCAGACAGTCCCCTGCCTCTCGCGTAAACAGGTCCGTGTTCAATCCGCCAATGAAGCAAGCACTATAACACACTACTGCAGTCGCGGGTAGTGCGAAGTTTGAGCGGGGTACATAGCAGCCATTTAGCCAGATTGCAGGACGCACGCAGCACAGCTGTCGGTTCCTGGCTCGCTCAAATCACTCGATAGTCGATACTAGGAGAGTCCGAAGCTATCCAGGATCAAGGGTAGCTTGCTGTATAATCCTAAGAGTTTTGGTAAGATAGTGGCGAAGTAATCCGCGTATACCTTACAGTAGCTGTAGGACGTTCACCAACAAGAACCCATATCCATAACATCCATCGAACTGATAACTTCCTTAACTTCCTTCAAGAAATACTTCTATTCGATAAATTAAAGCTAACCCTCTCACCTGTAGTACCACGGAATGAACCCAACCATCCCAGGGAACCCCCCAAACCACCCTGATATCAACATTCGCCCAGCATGACGAATGTGGCCAACCCGTCAGACCTATATACACCTCGACCCTCACCACCAACCCGAAACCCCCCCAGAGAGAAACCCAAAAGACCTGAAAGCACCAGAATGTCCCTCCGCGGCTTCCACACCAGCTCCGACACCATCGTCCTCAAAAACAAACACATCCTCAGCAGTCGCTGCAAACGGCCCGACGGCACCTGGTCCTTCTCCGAGATCGATCTGAATGATTGCCTGGGGAATAATAATGGTAAGCCCACCATGGTACCAGCGTGACTTGGTGCGCTGCGCGGTGCAGCGCGGATAGCGTGATGCTAAGGGTATGGGTTTAGGGAAGTTTGTCTGGGGCGGGGACTCGTTCGCGGACAGCGCTTCGCAGGTGCATCTTGCGTTGGAAGGCGGGGAGGGGAAGCCGATGTTGCATGCGCAGCTGAATGACCGGCATGGGAGTGTGCAGTCTGCGAGTGTGAATCTGGGAGAGTGTATTCAGAACGAGGCGGGGGCGTTGGAGTATATGCATTGTTGAGGTGGGAGGACAGCAGGTCTATTAGGAAGAGAGGAATAGATAAATCGAATCGAATATACATGAGATTGAATTTATCCGACAATACCCGTCCAGCCATTGTCAACGGGGATAAGGGCGCCGTTGACCAGTTTCGAGCCCCTGCCGCAGGTCAGGGACAGGCACATGTCCGCTACATCGTCGATCTCGCACAAGGGCGCTTTGGTGGCATTTAGGATCTCCACGGCTTTGTCTTTGCCCTCCAGGTTGATGCCGGCGTGGAAGGCGTCGGTGATGTTAGTGTTCATGCCGCCCAGCATGAGCGCATTGCACCGGATGCCCTTGTTACCGTAGAAGGAGGCCGTGTTCTTAGTCAACCCGACAAGACCGTGCTTGCTCGCTGTGTATGCTGCGCCTACGTAAAGTTAGCAATAGGAATACACTGGCTGTCGGAGAACATACCCGCTGCCCAGCCAGCCTTGCCGGCTACAGAGACGATGTTGACGATGCATCCATCAGTGGTAGGCTGCTCCGACATATTCCGCACAGCTAGTTTGCTGAGCAGAAACGGGGCTGTGAGGTTCACGGCAATCACCTTATCCCACAGTGCCTCATCGAGATCTCCCACGGGATCAAACCTGTCCATGATTCCAGCATTGTTGACTAAGATGTCGAGCTTCTTAAAGTCCGCGATGATCTCGTCAAAGAGGGTCTGAACCGCGCTCGCAGAGGAAATGTCCGCCTTGATAGCTTTCAATCGACCGGTTTCCCCAAGTTCTACCGAAGTCTGCTGTAGTCGCTTCTCGTTGACATCGCAGATAACCACGTTTGCGCCAGCCGCGAGAAACTTGGTCGCAATGGCCTTGCCCAGCCCGCCGGCTCCGCCGGTGACCAAGCAGGTCTTGCCAGTAAGCGAGAGTTCAGATAATTGGACGAGCATACTGCACTCTGCCGAACAGCACAAAGAGGGAAGGACGATGCAGCGAAGCATCCCTCATGGCTGATGGTAAGCTATGAAATATATACTCGACTTCATGGAAGGCTTCAATATCCACGGAACTCTGAGCCCCCGTATTAACACGCAACACGGCTCGCTAACGATACACCATTCCTTTCCAAGTCGAGAGGCTCAGACGGTCGATTGAAAATGGCACGTTGACGAATGATACAGCCGTTCAATGGTGGGGATAGTCCGCACTTTCGAAGCGAACATCGTATTTGCGTATTCGGTCCGTAGTCACATGATAAAGCAATTGATGCCTTTGTGCCACATTCCTAGCTCAACAATAATCCCCAGCTCAGTGTGCAGTGCATAGTACGAGCCGATTTTTGGTATAGCTCGTGACCTCTGTATGTACCATGTTCTGGGTCGTTTGACATGACCGGCGAAAGACCGAGCATCGGAAACGGAGCGATTCGCAATTGCCGCTTATCGGCCTGAGCTCCATTGTCGTTGTCAGGAGGATGGGAACCTGATACATACCGTGCATCGTGGCATATCATGATAGGGACACTTGGACATCATTGTCGAGCTGCTACTTGAAAGTGCTAGGTTTTAGCGTGCAAAGAAAAGACCATCACTAGCAGCAAGACATCGATCAGTATGGCCTCATTTGCGTACGCCTTCCAAATTCACGTTTAGTTGGAGACTCAACTGACGTCCAACAGAAGCAATACCTTTTCCCATCAATTGTATGCGGCTTTCCGGCCAACATACTCAACACAGCTCTTCTCCGCCTTGCTTGCATATCATAGAGGCCCGTCAAGAACAGCCCTTGACTTGGGAACAGGCCATGGTTTGGTCGCTCGCGAGCTCAGTCCACATTTCCAGCGGGTACTCGCCAGCGATCCATCCGCAGGGATGATCCAAGAAGCCCGCCAGCTGTCCACCAATTTTCCCAACATAGCTTTCCACCAAGAAAGAGCAGAAGAGTGTCCTTTCGCTGCGGATGCGAAAGTCGATCTAGTAACAGCCGCACAGGCCGCGCACTGGTTCGACTATGCCAAGCTGTGGCCGGAGATGAGAAGAATTGTCCGATCCGGAGGTACGCTGGCTTTCTGGGGCTACAAGGACCATGTGCTCGTGTCCTACCCCAGAGCAACCAATATCATCAATGAGTACGCATATGGGCAAGATCCTTGGCTGCTGGGAAGCTACTGGCAGCAGCCTGGTCGCAGTATAGTGCAACAGAAACTGCGAGCTGTCCAGCCGCCCGTCGAGGACTGGGAGGATGTCTCTCGTGATGAGTATGAGCCTGGAGTAGAGGGAGGGACACGGTTCATGCATGCGAGGATGACTTTGGGGTCCATGGAGGAGTATGTCAGAACATGGAGCTCGTTTCACGCATGGCAGAGGAAATGGCCGGATAGGACGAGGAGGGCTCCTGAAAATAACGATCAACGTGGTGATGTGATTGATGAGATGATGGACAAGATTCGAGAGACTGAGCCGTCTTTTCAGCGAGATGATTGGAAGGATGTGGAGGTGGATGTTGAATGGGGGAGTGCGTTGATTTTGGCACGGAGAAGGTAGCCGCTGCGATGCACCTGTTAACCAAATGGATTCAAAAGGAAATATGAAGATGTACCCTGACAAAGTCCTGACAAGGTAAGGTCATGTTGTGGGTGAGTTGGAGTAGATGCACTCGTCGTCAAAGAAGGCCGTATGCGCACGCCCTGTCAATGGCATCGATGCCCCACCAAATATCCACACATTCAACGACAACCCCAAATATATAGAGCTCAAGTCAGAAGAAATGAAAGAGAATTATTGTTCTCAAGAAGAGCCTTTGCCTTCGACTGCTCAGAATCCATTTAATCTGAACCTCTAATGTGGTGTTCCATCCAGATCCCTCGAGCTACTTAATCACTGGACTATTCTGCCTTCAACAACACATCTTACAAACTGCCCAGCGTCATCTTCCAAAATGAATCAAACTGCAACTCTGTCCACCAATTCTATCACCATCCGCACACACCAACCTGCAGACATAGACTGGATTATCTCCCGCCACGGCACCCTCTACGCAGACGAATACAACTTCAACGACAAGTTCGTCGCCCTAGTCTCGAAGATCGCCTCAGACTTCCAGCAAAATCATGATCCTACCTCGGAGCGCTGTTGGATCGCGGAGCGTACTGACAAGACCGTCAATGAGCCAGTGGGCTGTATGATGCTTGTCAGGGATATCGAGTCGCCCGATACAGCCAGACTGCGCTTACTTCTTGTGGAGCCGAGCGCTCGGGGAATGGGAGTCGGAAGATCCTTGATCAAGCAGTGTATCGAGTTTGCGAGAGAGGTTGGGTACAAGCGGGTGGTGCTCTGGACGCAGAGTCTGTTGGGCTCGGCGAGGAGGCTATACAAGGCAGAAGGATTTCGATTGGTGAAAGAGGAGGAGCATGAAGGGTTTGGGATGACATTGGTAGGGGAGTTCTGGGAGCTGGACCTAGAGAAGGTGTCTCAGGACGGATAGTATACTGGTGATTTGTGTAACGGTTTCAGTTGATCTCTGCGTAGGGGCTAATGAACTTGATTGCAATCGCTACACTTATCATGAAGGTATCCAGCAATGCGATATGCATCTTTAGTGTGACTTCTGTCTTATTGCCTTGCTGATTTGATAGTCAGGCTGATCAGCTGATCAGCCATCACAGCCTTGTGAGCCCCTCATCCTGTGCTGATGCTTGCAATTTGTGAGCGCTTAGCAAGAAGTCTCACATAAAACACAGAACATAGCATCCAAGATCAGATGTATGGATTGACTTTGATTTCATCGTTCGTGCCACAACAGCAATATGAGCACGCTTGGAAAACTTCACGCGTCATTAGCAAGCGCAACGCAAGAAACTACAGTATCTCTTGCCAATCTGAACTTTGACTTCTCCCTACTCAAAGTTGAGCCACCAGCTGAATACCGCGAACTTGGTGTCACACTGTCCCCTCGACGACGTACAGCGGCCGAGTCGGGCTCCCACCATTCGACGGCCCGCAAGCTCGCATCTCTGTTCCAATCTATTCTGCCGAGCACTCCAAAGTTGGTTGCTGCGTATGGTCGCAGAGCATCTGATATATCGAGTTCCAATGCTGTGAACCCCCGGGGCACGGCCAAGCATGGTGCGTTTCAAGATTTCGTGGGACTAGACGGAACGACAATATGGGCAGCAGCAACGTCAGGACCAGCAGCCATTGCGGTGCATCTTTTAGCGTGCATGTTGGCTTCGATGTGGCCGGCATCCGAAGCCAGTGCAATCTGGATCGAACTGGTTTCTGAGCGATTGAAAGAGATCCGCACAGTGACGGAGTCCGGATACGCGACATTGGAAGATTATGCCGCGGCGCACTTGGTGATCGAAAAGCAGCAACTATATGAATGGGACGCCAGTGCGCGCGCTTGGCTTCGTGCTGCCCAAGAATCTCCCTCAGTAAAGAGCCGACAGACGAAGCTGATGCTCATCTTGAAGAATATCGAAATTCCAGTGAGTAGTCGACCGGATGTGTACCGCAGTGTTCTAGATGCATGGAAGCTCTCTCTGGAGACCATGGAGAATGTCCTGAGCGGTGGATCCTACAGCGTGCAAGATGGCGCTGTTTTGGTGGCCCTGTCTGCGTGGAATCTGTACCCTGACCTGGTCATTCTCAGCCGTGAGGAGCAAGCCCTCATCCAGCGGGACGAGCTAATTCCAGATGGGGCCCAAGTCACTGTAGGCCTTGGAACAAAGAAGCCCATCGGATCCGATGGAGTTTATTGGTCTCTTTCACTACGGCACCTGCGCTATTATGGCGCTCCAGTGAAAACGGTCCGTTCGATCGGCTCCGACCTGGACCGATGGGAGTATTCAGAATTTCTCCTTGTAATTATGGGCGCAATACTGGGGCATTGGCATATCGGCAAGGCCGAGTTAGAAGACGGATTGGATTTTATCTGCCTGTTGAGCTCGACGACAGACAGATTGTCAGCCAAGAGAAGCCCGGTATCAAGAGTCTCCAACTGTTTTCGGCCGTTCAGTCAGACGGCCAACTCTTATCGTGATGCGAAGGGGTCGGCACGAGACCAGAAACGCAAGCTGCTTCTTCTGGGATGGCGCCACAATGAGAAGATAATTGACCGAAGCAGAGCAAATTCCCAGTTTGGAAGTGCGATCGAGACTCGTCTCATCGTGGAGTTGGAGGATCAAATCAAGTACCTGCGCTCAAGAGTCGCTAATCTCTATCCAACCACTGGAGATCATTTTGTCATTCAATACGAGCGGAATTCGTTTTGTAGCGCTGTACCTCTCGATAAAACAGGGCGACACTGCCGTTGGACCTGTTCCTCTGACATTGGCATGAATGCAGAAGAATGCGTGCTGCCTCTAGATGCGAAAAAGATCAAAACTGGGAGCTTGGAAATATCAGGAAGCACAAGGTTCCCAACAATTTTTACCTGGGCCGACCCCCCTCCTGGGCTAGGAGGCAGAGAGCACAACTCACCCACTAGTGGATCCCGTCAAAAGGAAGGGTCGGCCAAGGTCACGGCCCAGACAGTCGATTCGTCGTTGGAGACTGGTGGACACAGGGCTTCGTCGGCTGCAAATACTCAAGCTCTCACTCCACGCCTCACGAATTCCAGCGTCTTCAATGAATCACTGGATAGTTTGGAGCCAGAGCCAGAGGGCCCCTTGCCGTCAGAGTCTCAACAGATCTTCAGCGTTCAAGACCCTCCAGGTAAGCTTTCCTTCGTCCTATCCATCACAATGGCTTTATAAAGGCCTGATCAACGTAGGCGACAGCGAAGATCTTCAGCTCACTGCCTCCGCTCTGCCGCAATTTCCACCGAGGCCGTATGATGTCACGCTCGGACGGACCGCGATGATCCATGAGGAACCGCCGCCATTGAACCCGTATTATGTGCGACTACTTGAAGACAGCAAGCATGAAAACAAGTGCCCTGTAAAGGTGTTGGAATTTCACTTGGTAGAGAACTGCGGAGACTGCGCTTTATATCGAAGTGAGACCATCCGCGACAACGGCACGCCGCCATCGACGGTCGAGCTACAAGCCAAGCCCCTTGATCAACAGATAGAGCATGACTACGACAAGGAAGTCATCCAGTCTCAAGGCGACACCGACAGACTAATTGCTGAGAATGCGTACCCGGTTGACCACGGGTCCAAGCCCTTCGCAGGCCCATCGCTAAGTGGCCGGAGAAGAAAGGAGATGAGTTTCAAAAGGATCAACCATCTCTTGCGCACGTATACAATCGATCTGAGCATGCTCTTTGAGGTCTGTGCTCTGTTGGAAATGGAGAACACGGCACATGAAAGCGCAAAGCCAAAGGGCAATCTTCTCGATCTTCTCCGATTTTTGACGGCTTTGCAGCTGGTCTTTGAAGAGATTCCCGGGGCGACTATCTCACCCCGTTGTATCGATGCTCGTATACTAGAATCCAGGTTAATAAGCTCCCTCCTTATCAATCAAAACCAAGGTCAATCAGCCTTCAGCTACGCAGATAGCCACTGGCGAGCCCGCAAGGCGCTGAGCACCGACGTGCATCCGTTATCACTCAGGCAAGCATTTGCGGCTCTCTGCATGCTAGAGTCCGGTTCGCTTGATATCGACCCAGAGGACCTCCAACGTGTGTTTGCAATTTCTTCAGGGGACTCTCTCTATATTGCCGCGCCTCTGCTTTGTGACCCGGGCACTGAACACCCGCCTTACTCTATTCGGAGAGTCATCGGGAACGTTGGCCGGCCCGGTATCACACTCATGATTCCGCCAGCAAGTTCAGAAGTGCGTAATGCGGATCCTGAGCATTGGAACCTCGTGAATCACAACGAGTTCGACGGCAAGCTCGAAGACGCCTTCCAGAGCACCTCCCTCCATGTCCGCTTCACTGGTTTTGTACTCGCGGTGGACGTTGGTCTACATGGCTCCCAGTTCAGAGAGATATCCTTTGCGGAGGCAGTGATATCTGTCTTTGACTCGGGGAATTGGGTCGCTGATATCAATGTGTTGGAGTCCCTGGAAAGTGGCTCTTTGGTGCGGATCCAGCAATCCCGTGAATGCGAGTTGAGTAGGGTAGAATCAATGCCTGCGTTTGACTCTGTCGCAATCGAGAATTGGGATGAGATTCTGGATCCCCCTACTGAGCCAGCCGTATTCAAAACTCACGGCAACTGGCAGGCAAGACTGGCGGCAATGTGCATCTGTATAAGTCTTCAGCATTGTATCATACTATTTCAGAATCATCGATGCTGGAGCTGTGCAGGCAAGGCTGCTCAGGAGCAAGGTTATTCGGGAGCCCCTAATATGGTGTTCATATTGTAGTGTTGAATGAAAGGTGAAGGCAACACGGTATATCAGATGAAAAAATATATTAGTAAGGAGGCGATGACGATAGGAGCAAAGGAAGGCTGACTGGGGGCGTCTCAGCCTGAACTCTGTCTGATGAACAGCAACATCTCCACAGTACTATCTCCGTCTACTTAACTCCTCATTCGTTGCTGTTGCCTACTTGATCAGTTGTGTTAGTATGCCTCCTGATTGATCCCCATCCCCGAGAAACGAATACTTTTGCAGTACGATGATGATGGCCCCGGTGAGGACCGGATCACCTGTCCAATTGTAAGAATGGATCCTATTGAGAAGGAGTGGCCTTTCGGGCATTCGTCCCGGCTCGTCACCTGGGAAAGTTGAAGGTGAGGGTGGAGTTGATTCCGTACCAAACGGCGTTATCAGAACGAAAAACTAATCGCAAGGGGGAAAGTCACAGGTTCTTAGTGCTTGACAAATGCAATGACACTCCACGTTATCTCCGCACTTTCTCACCTCTTCCTGGCCCATTATTAGACTACCTCACAGTCAGGTCATGGTATAAACTCAAGTCTCTCGCAGCTGATTCGGCTTCTCCCGATTCCCCTCACGATCATTCGATTCTAATCTTCACCCGACCCACCAGCCGTCGCGGAGACCTTCTCGATTAGGGAATCTTGGTCGACTATCTATCTTACCCTTATCAAGCCTTCGCTCTCTTACCCTCAACCCGATGGCTTCTTCGTCTGTTGTTCTTATCCGAAGGTTGACTCCTCTGTCAAGGGATGTAGGCCCATGGAGGCGTTGGGGGAGGGGAAGAGTGGAAGTTTAAAAGCCCTGGCCTGCGGCAGGGGCCATTTCATCTCGAACCGATTCATCGAATGATCAGCTTCTGAAATCTTGCAAGAGAGAGTTAACTATTCTGCGCCTACTGTCACCATGGCGGTCATTGAGGAGGATAACAAGCAAGTCTTTCAGCCGACAGCCGGAGAAGATGTTCGTCTCGAGAATCTTGGCTATGAGCAAGGTGTGAAAGCTGTCCCTAAGTGGATGGAATATACTAATGCAAAGCAGAGCTCAAGCGGACCTTTGGCTTGTTGGGTATGATCGGTTTCAGCTTCAGCATCGTCACATCGTAAGCATTCCATGCCTCCCTCTGTTTCATAGTGGAAATGCATGCTGACTTATCAGATGGACTGCCTTGAGCGGCGTGTTTATTGTAGGAGTCACGTCCGGTGGCCCTCCGGTCATGGTATTCAGTTTCATCGGCGTCAGTCTTCTTACACTTGCAGTTGCAATTCCCATGGCGGAGATGTGTTCCATGTACCCTGTCGCAGGGGGACAATACTCGTGGGTGGCCGCTCTGGCTCCCCCAAAGATCGCACGCGGGTTATCGTACATCAGTGGATGGTTCATGCTCATAGGTATGTCGATGGATTCATGGACATTATGTACTTTGCTGTATACTTATTTGGAGCAGGAGTTCTGGCAATGGGTGCCACGAACAATTCCATCGCAGCCAACTTTGTCCTCGGAATGGCCAATCTCGTCTTTCCGGAATACACCATTGAACGATGGCAGACCGTTCTTGTTGCGTACCTCGTTGCTTTCATAGCGGCCGCCGTCAATATTTGGGGCCCTCACCTACTCAACCGCATATCACGCTTCATACTGATCTGGAATGTGGGCTCCTTCATCATCACCATGATCGTGCTCCTCGCCACAAACGACCATAAACAGCCCGCTGCATTCGTTTTCTCCGAGTTCCAAAACTTCACCGGCTGGGGCCCAGCTATGGCCGCTATTGTCGGGATCCTCCAGTCCTGCTTCGGCATGTGTTGCTACGATGCCCCCGCACACATGACCGAGGAGATGAAGTCCGCCTCGAAAGAAGCCCCCAAATCCATCATTCTCTCCGTCGTACTCGGCGCAGTCACCGGCTTCGGCTTCCTCCTCACCCTCTGCTTCTGCATCGGTGACATCAACGAAACTGCCAGCACATCCACCGGCGTACCCGTCATTCAGATCTTCTACGATTCTACCGGCAGTAAAGTCGGCGCCTGCATTCTGTCTAGCATGATCGCCGTCATTGTCATCGTTGCGGGGAACAATCTGCTCGCCGAGGGCTCACGCTCAGTCTACGCGTTCGCCCGCGACCATGGCCTGCCCTTCTCCAAGGTCTTTGCCAAAGTTGAGAGCAAGCGCCATGTGCCCGTCAACGCTGTGCTCCTGACACTGGCCGTACAACTCGCTTTAGATGCTATTGATTTCGGCACCACGACTGGATTCGAAACTGTCATTGCGATCGCAACAGAGGGATTCTGTAAGTCTTGTCGGGGTCAGTCCCATTCAAAACCCCAGCTGATCACTTTATAGATTTATCATACGCAATGGCCCTCTTCAGCCGCCTCCTCGGCTACGTCACTGGCCACCAGAAAGAAATGAAGGGACCTTTTGCTCTACCACAGTGGATCTCCATCACCCTCAATGTCCTGGGGCTTCTGTTCCTGCTCTTTGCATCCATCACTTTCAACTTTCCAAACTATTACCCCATTGACAAGGATTCAATGAACTATACTTCTGCCGCGATTGGTATAATTGCGCTGATTAGTCTGGTTACCTGGTTCACCACCGGTAAGAAACACTTTGCTGGACCAGGAGGTATGCGCGTGTTGCATGGACGGGAGGAGGTTGTTCGACCGGAGGCAGCGGTAGAGAAGAAGTAATTGTGATGTGGATCTGTCTCTATATTTTGTATAGATAAGAGTCCACAGAACCCGAGAGCTTGCTTTTGACACATCATGCCGCAAGTGTAAAGTAGACACAGGTATCTCTGATGTGCTACTGGCAACTATCAAAGTAAGTAGTGAGCGAGCTACCTCCGCAGCTGCAAGAGTAGTCGTCTCCGCAGCCGCGTCGTATATAGGCGACACCTCAACCACATCAGCCCCGATCACCTCGAGCCCGGCTACGCGTCGTGGATCGAAAGTAGTTCTCTTGCTGTACTTCATCAGCATCCAGAGCATCCATTATCTCAGTGTACCGAAACCAAGCATGCATTGGGCGGAGTGGCGACACCCTCTTCATAAACCAGGTAGAGGAAGGTTCTGTGCTTCACTCCCCTAATACACAGAGTGTTAAATTGTTGCCAGTTCGATTCAATGCTCGCCTGAATACGCTGCAGCAGGGTCCACGGTGTCAACTTTTCTTACTGCTATTGAGAAAGGATCCATTATATGGTCAGAAGTTTCTGCGGTTGTGTGCCAGACACGTACTTACTCCACACGTGAAGAACTCCCATAAACTGTCGATTTCAGCATCTCGAGTAATCCCTCCGCATATCACAAATTCGACTTCAGCGGGTCTTGGCACGGCATCTCAGAGGATGATTGCTATAATCTTTCGAATTCATTATGACCAGATCTGGAGGTGACGTTGGCTGCCCATTCCAACCAGCAGCAAGCATGACGCCTACCTTCTTTATTCCAACAAATGATAGCACCAAAGTATTCCCTATTCCGGATCACATCTATAAGCTAGCATCAAGATATTCCAATTCCTGATCACATCCATGGTATAGCTAGCATCTGGAGATTCTGTGTACAGTGGTACCATTCGCTGTTGCCGGAGACAATCGTCAAGTCTTCATGTCTAAACATAAAACTACCAAAGAGTACACCCAATACAAAGAAGCATCTGCACTGAAAGAAGTCCACAGCCCAGCAGCTCAGAAGGCAAAAGAGAACTATGACTGAGTCAATATATGCGGGAAGGAGCAACAGTTCAAGAATTCAAGACTCACAAGGTAAATAATTGCGCAGAATACCGTTCAGAGCCCACAGGTGGAATTATCTCAGTCCCTCACAGGATAATCTGACAAGGCCTTCCATCTAACTCTGCTCACCTGTGATATTGGAACAACGTCCATGAACAAACTGATGGATAGAAGAGGTTGAAAGAGCAGCCGAAGGATAAAGGTCACATTCGCCGCCTCCTTCCACGTAGGACCATGCCTGACACTTCTTGGTCTTTTCACAGTATTGTCCGCAGGCTGTGGCGTTGAGCAGTCCAAACTTGAATGTAATAGGTGCACCACTGAATGTCCCCAATTCGTTGTAAGTGATGTTTGAGAGACAGTCAATTGACGCAGTAGCAAGAGAGAGGGAGCAGAAGATGGCTGCCAGGCTTATTTGAGGAATTCTCAACAACATTGTGAAAGTGGATGATTGGGACTGGAGGGGAAGATTCTTGCAGAATGAAAGCCTGAAGAATTGTGACCGTATGAGAGAACTTCAGGAGCTATATGTCTAAAAAAAAAAAGAGGCTGAGTTGATGTTGCTCATCACTGTCAGGGAGATGGGAGGAAACTGAACACGCCGGATTCCTCGGCCTCCCTTCCGCATTGGTACGGGAAGCGATATCAAGCTGAAGTTTGCAGTAAGACTTATAGTAGTGCGCCGTCAGTCCATCTTGGAGACAACTTGTCTGTTTAGGTAATGGAGTACAGAGTTTACCTCGACAATGGCCCGGCGGATATTAACCGAGACGGCGAGGCCGGTGAATGTGATCAATGGGCATTGATGTAGGCAATAGCGAAAGGATTAATAGACACAGATAGATAAAGGTCAGGGTCAGGGTGGAGCCATATGCTCATTATGAGTCTCCATAGGACCATAATAGTAAATCAGAGATAAAAGTACTAGATCAGAAATGAGCATCTGCATGGCCCCTGCTTCTATCTAGATGTATCATGGGTGACCGGTGAAGTGTGGAAATGGTGGCACTATGTTAAACAGTTAAACCTTAACAACCGCCAAGTAAATAGCACCATTCACCAATCAAACTAAATACTGGAAATGCTACCCTATAAAATTGATGTCTCACTTCTGGATGTGGCCCTGGCTGGCTTGACAACTCAATTGGTCATCATTTCTGGTCCAACCTTCCTCTCTGCCATATGAAAATATCTCAGAATTGTCTAGTCTATCTTGGAATTCAGGTATTTTCATTTAGACCGTGTCCGGACGATGTACGGACTACGGAGTACTCCTTGGTACTATGGATTACAGAGGGTATCCGCTGTCAGGTGTTTCCCAATCAGGCAATAGGACCGACGCTTATCCGAATAGCTTAAATGAGCTTCCCTTTAAGAAGCATTCTCAGTATTTCAACCAACCTCCTCTCATCTCCAGTCTAAACTACCGCTGCAAATTATCAATCGTTACTCTCGCTCCCGAGTCCGTTTCCTTAGTGGGCGACAACCTGGTCGATAATTTGAAACTCATACGATATACCACTCGGGGAAAGAACTGCGAAAGGAATGGATCCATTTGGCCGACTCCCTTGGTTCGTCCTACAAAATATTCTTTCGAATCTCGGAGATTTGCCCTCGTTGCATAGATTGCACAATGCATCTCCGGCTGTCGCGGCATTCCTCCACGACAATAATGATCTATTTGCCGTGATTGTGGATGCAATCATCGGAGACCCAGCTCGCGAAAGGGGCTTGCTGCCACATGTTCAGCATGCAGTCAGGCTCTTAGTTCTTGTCTGGACCCTAGCCTCAAATTCAGAGCCTCGGCAGGCGAATGAAAAAGCTGCAGAGCCACTGGAAGAGTCATACGCAGACATTCTAAGCACCCTGCGATATGTTGGAGAGCGGTTCCCCCAGGAACCGCTTCCGATTGAGAAGACAATATCCAGGTCGACGTCGTCGGCCATTCTTTGTCAGCTCCTTGTCCTGATGACCCGCTTGAGACGTATCGCGCATGCATGCTTTCATTCAATGATTGCTAGGTGCCTAAAGTTGCGGGTGGAGCATTTGCCCAAAAAGACTAAGTATTACACTTGGACGAGTGTAGTTGACCGTAGTCAACGCCCTCGGGGAATCCCTTATGTTCCTTTTGATATCGGACCAGCAACGTGGTTTGAGGAGCAACGCTTGCTTCATGGTTTACTCTGTGTTGTTCTTTTTTTTGAACTTCGGAAGACACACATGAAATGCTCAGTTATAACGACAGATGGTCAGCCAGTACAGACGTTGCTGGATGACAACGTGGAAGGGTTCTGGAAGACAATATTATGGATGCACAACGATGGCCAGGTGGAGCAGATAACGACTCTTCTTGAATGGCTAGATGAACAGGCAGGTGGGCGTGGAAAGTTATACTCCTGGTTGATCTCCGGTTCGATTCCGGAGGAATTCAGCCATTGCTGTGGTCGTTATACATCAATGACAGACAAGCAATGGGACAAGGCAGAACTGGATATGTACCTTGGCTCATCTTCCCGAGGCACACAGTGTCTACGGTGGTGCAGTACGCACAATTTGTCGCCTCTCAGGTGCGTAAAGTATTCGGCCTTTCGCCCATATGGTCTTGTATTTTGGGATTGCATTAGACTAGACGCTCTTGGATTGCCAGGGAAAAAAAATATGCGCGCAATGTGGTTCGCCTGGTCTTGCGTACTCTCAGAAGATGATTGGGACGAAATATTAAGACTGCAGCCCGTGACTCCACGGTATGACGAAGAAGACTTTGATGTATATGACTCGTGGTTAGGGTAGTGATTTAGCGACATCTGTTGAGGGACACAGACAAAACCACTAAACACAAATCCATTTCTTGAACAATTTTGATTCTATGGACGATCTTAAATGCAATCAGCAAGTGACAGGGTCGCACTTTCAGACCAGAGATAAACAATCCCGGTACGAAGACAAAGGAACCACCTCCAAGGTTTCCGGTGAAGCCAAAGATAAGGCCACGGCTTTTCTCAAGCATTCACAACTTCACAGGCTCAATCTTGAAGTACATTACCGGCTCACCATCACTTCCTCCGAATACTGTAATTTCAGAGACTGTCCTCAGGCCTAGCTTGGCCTTGTGCTGAATTAACAGCCAACCGACACCGCGGCCGTTTGGGGAGTAGAGCAGAGCATAGTACGCATCAGACCCGGGCCTGAAAGTCCTGCCCTTCTCCTTCATTGGCCTCAATTCGCCCCAGCCCTCGAAGTCTGCTGGTTTCCCAATGGCTCTTCTCATGATAGCGAGTGTATCACCATTGATAACTATGCTCCGGAAGATATGCTCAAGGTTCTGGACATTACTGTTGGCCTCCCTGGCCGCCCTCTCCCAGAGGAGAAAGATCACGTCTGACCACTGCTTCAGCGGCACGAACTGCTCAGGCTTCCAATTCGAATTTTTCTGCATATACTCAGGGCTCTTATTGTCGTCCGCAACGATTAGCCCAGCTTTCATGTTAAACAGACTCTGATAATAGGCTTCAGATTCCTGCCAACACTCAGTCAATTTTAACGTGGAAGGCTCCAGTGCCTATCATGAACTCACTTTGTACGGTTTACCATCAACCGTCATAGCCCTCGAATGATCAATCCTGACCAGAAAGTTTTTCTCCGCATCGATGTTGAGTTCCTCGAAAGCGTTCGCCAGAGTGTCTTGACCCATTGCCATGTCAGGGTCTTCGTCATCATCCACAACCCACCCATACCTAACCAAGTCTGCATAGTCTGCCCACTGGCTGATTGGGACCGGTGCATACTGATTTGCTGCTTCCTGGTCCCCGTTCATCGCGCAATGCATTCTGCGCCCTTTCTCCTTGTAGACATCCCAATTATCCGCTCGGGCAACGAGTTTGTCAGTTGTCCGCTCGACAACCAAACTGCCCTGGGGCCATCGCTGCGTGTCCAAGCCATTGGCTGGTAGGATATACAGAAGAAGGACTGCAAGCAGGAAAAGAGGGAGGGTGCTTGCACGCCATAGACTGGCTGCAGGTGTCGTCCTGACACCAGGAATGCGTCGAGCCATGTAGGCAGACAGGTAAGCAAGTACTTGCTTCACACAAAGAAGAGGAGAGAAGGACGTTGACGACCTGAGGATGTAAGGGACGGCTCGCTGTTCGGAGCCCAGAAGAGAAAATAATCAAGTCACTCGACTGTGGGAGTATGGAAGAATAGTTATGTCTATCATTTGCTTGATCCCTGCCTCCTTCCTACGAGGGAATAGAACGCAACAGGGGGATTACTGTCTGGGCCGAGGGCAAACTCCATGGACGCTGCTCGAGACCGAGACTTTTGCCTGGTACAGCGCAGAAAGCGCGGTCAAATTGTTAGATTGGATTGAACACGAGATCCGCTGGAAAATAATTTGCTCCATAAACACGACCCGATACTGCTAACACACGCCATTTTGGGCGCATATGCCTCAACCGACAAGAGAAAGTAACGAGACACGCTCATGATTGGTGGAAGGATATAACGAGGGAACTAGATTCAGGGGTTCAAGAGCCACTTTGCCTCAAGTGGAACATCTGTAAATGAGCTGCAGCATTTTATCGACTCATAGAGAGCGTTAGCATTGGGTACGATAGTGTTGTAGGACTGAGCCTCTGAAGGCTAGGACTCGGAGCCTAGGGCAGAGGACGGTGGGACCGTGGGCTGCGGGCAAGAGGGTTGTATCTTTGAACCTTGAACTAACGACGACTAGTGCATGCAGCACGCTACTTTTCGCACCGACTTTTAGTGCATGCTGAACAATGTAACCACATACTAGCCCTATGGGGCCTGAAATTGGAAGGCTCCGATACGTGAACAATGAATTTCTCAGGACTATGTGGTATCTAACCGGAAGAAACGCAGAGAGAGGGGCCATCCAAATCATATGGGTGGAGTTCTCTGAGAAGGCAATCTTCGTCCATGCTAGTGACATTGAGCGATTGTGTTTGGACATGAAGCTAGGCTAGGGAGAAGGATGAGCTATCACCGGAATCGGGCTCATCGAAAGTATTTAAAGCCGTGATACGGATTTACATCCTCTGCAATTTCGAAGCCATGGTGTATCAATCTCAGAGGATCCAATGATTGTCTGGTCGATCCTGCTGACCTTGCTTCTGGCAGGTACCAGCCATGGCAAAGCAGTATTTGCCCATTTTATGGTATGACATGAACCCGAGAAGCAAAGGAGAGAATTTGATGAAGCAGAGATGATGACGACTTTTTAGGTTGGCAATGCTGCAAACTATACGGGAAGTGATGTGCAAGACGACATTTCTCAGGCCCAAGCAGCTCACATCGACGCCTTCGCTTTGAATATAGCGAGCAACAATCCTGTCAATGATGTAGTGATATCTATGTTCTTCCAGGAAGCGGACAAACTTGGGTTCCAGTTATTTTTCTCTTTCGATTATGCAGGGAACGGGCCATGGTCTATGAGCGACGTGATCAATCTGATCAACAAATACGGTGGGAAGAGCTCTTACTACCACTACAATGGCCAACCTTTCGTGTCGACCTTTGAGGGCCCTGCAAATTCGGATGACTGGCTCTATATTAAACAGGCGACGGGGTGCTTCTTTGTACCAGACTGGTCGTCCTTGGGGGCTAAACCAGCAGTAGAGTTAGGCACAGCGGATGGTCTTTTCAACTGGGCGGCTTGGCCATGGGGGGGTCAAGAGATGAACACTTACGTGGACGCCTCATATATCGAGTATTTGGGGGATCTCCCTTATATGATGCCGGCTTCGCCATGGTTTTATACCAACCTTCCGGGGTACAACAAGAATTGGCTGTGGCGGTATGTAATCCCCTTCCGGGTCTCGCCTTTTTCTTACTGGCACGCACGCTGACGGGTGGAAATTGATTTTTAGTGGCGACAACCTGTGGTACGACCGATGGCAGGAGATCTGGTATCTCAAGCCACCGTTTGTTGAAATCATCTCCTGGAATGACTACGGCGAGTCTCACTATATCGGACCATTGCGGGATTATGCCATGGAGGCCTTTACTATCGGTCGAGCTCCTTACAATTATGTCACCAACATGCCCCATGATGGCTGGCGCCTCTTTCTCCCATTCCTGATTGATACCTATAAGTATGGTACAGCAACCATTGACAAGGAAGGCTTGACCGTTTGGCATCGGCCCCAGCCTGCATCGGCATGTGGCACAGGAGGAACTTCTGGAATTACTGCCAGCCAGTTTCAAATTGAGTTCCCCCCAGCGGAGATCGTGCAGGATCACGTCTTCTTTTCTGCTCTGCTCAGCTCTCCGGCAACCGTCACGGTAAGCATTGGTGGTGTGTCCCAGCAGGCCAGCTGGACCTGGCAACCAGACGGAGGCGTCGGGATCTACCATGGCAGCGTTCCTTTTGGATCCAGCCTGGGAGACGTCGTCGTCACCGTATCGCGCTCTGGAAAGCAGATAGCCCAGGTCCGGGGCAGCTCCATTTCCACCAACTGCGTCGACGGCCTGACAAACTGGAATGCCTGGGTGGGCAGCGCCAGCGCCAGTGAAAGCGTGAATGCAGAACCGAAAGCAAACCTCTTCAATCAGAAATGTATCAATGGCACAGGGACCAATAACTTTGGTGGTCTTTGTGAGTTCGCCTGCAAATATGGCTACTGCCCCCTCGGCGCCTGTTACTGCCAGCTACAAGGGGAGGCGAGAGATACGCCCAATGCCACAGGCCCCATGGGCTATCCTCTGGCGGGACTAGATGCCAGCTATAGTGGTCTCTGCGCTTTTGACTGCCCATATGGATACTGCCCAGACACCGCGTGCGGGACAGTGTCAGCTCCACTGAGTACTCCAACTGTCTCGGACTTTTTGCCCCCGGCATGTATTGCGGGCACTGGTGAAGGTAATCTCGCGGGACTCTGTAGTTTCGCCTGCAACCTGGGACACTGCCCCATTGCTGCCTGTACGTGTACCGCCCAAGGTGCTCTGCACACTCTTCCGCAGGCGAAAAATGTCGTGGGTAAGGCTGCCCCAGGCATGGACGAAACGATATATGGAGGTCTATGCGCCTTCACCTGTATGTACGGCTACTGTCCTGAAGGGGCATGTGTCGTGGATAGCTCTAGCACAGGAGGCGGAGGCGGCAATGGCAATGGAAACTGCTCTGGTGATGTCTACGTCGACCCGATCATCTTCCTGCAACCTTCTCCTGTCGTGGAGTGCATTCCTCCTTGTGACCTCATTCTGCCGGAGCTGATTTTACCCACGACGACGACGATACATTTTTCATCTGTGACAACCTCCATTGTAGTGGGAGGTTCCACAATCAACACGCTTTATCCAAGTCCTGGTATGTTCTACTATATCCTCCTCCTACTCCCCCATCTGTGCACGAAAATCCAGCTTCTCACAGTCCCATGCTTAGTTAAAACCACGGCCATTGAATATTTCAACATGCCAATTGCCTCCGGTCAAACGAACCCGTTCTCTTTCTATATGACACCCAGCTATTCTCCGAGCCCCGTCATTGTCTCAGCTGGAGGTAGCACCACCACCATCGTCCTACCACCCGTATCTGTCCAATCAATTCCACCTGGCAGCATTGTTACGGAGAACTTCGCCTCCCTTGAAACCACTGACTTTGCCACCCGCGGATTCAAAGGCACAATACCCATCTCTCAAGAACCTGCCTTCCCCCACAATTACAACGACGACGATACCAGCCCGGAACGTGGCCACGACATCGACTAGCTCTAACACTCCCGTCGCCGTCTGGGTCCAGGCCGGAGGCTTCTACTGGTCCCCGGTTCCTGGCCCGACACCCGCGGATATCCCTCCCTTGCCATCGTTCCCAGCCATTCCAACCCCGGAATGCTTCAAATTTGGTGATCTCTATTCCATCGACTGCCCCCCTAACCGCTTCATTCCGACAACCACATTCAGCAGCCATAGCCCGCGCACCACATGCACCGATACCAGGAGCCCCGGGTGCGGACACTCATGTACCAGCAATTGCGGAACCAGTACCAGCGAGGAGTGCACCGCTCACACCGCAACCAACTACTGGGTCAGTTGCTCTGGCACCAGCTGCTCGACAACAAGAACGGCCACCTTCACCGGGTGCTCGGTGACCAACTCGGCCACGACAACGGGGGAGTATTGCCCGACAGGTGTCACAATCGATCCCAATGACGATCAGGGCGAGGAGGGATATCCACCCACATCGACCTCCATCATCACCACCAGCATCCCGGAGATCGGCATCGTCGGAGGCGAACCGTATTATGTAACGGGAGGGTCAATCAACGTCAACGGCGCGATTATCCAGGTGCCGAACGTTGGCGGCAGCGAGCAGGTCAGCACGACAATAGACAACGTGCCCATTGTCATCATCCCAAGCTATTCTGGGACCATGGCCGTGCCGGTGCTCCCAACCGCCAAGCCGACTTCCGGCTCCGGCTCCGGCTCCGGCTCGGGTTCTGGCTCTACTACATCCTCGACGGCCACTACCACTACTACAACCAGTGCGACGGCACCGACACCAACCTCTGCTGACGGGTGTGCTGTTATGAATGGCATACAGGGTGTGTGTTGGAATAAATGTGATCCCACAACCGGCAACCCAGTCAGTGGAGCGTGGGAAGAAGGTGATCCATGGTGCTGGCTTGTAGACGGTGATATCGGTGCCTTTTGTAACAGTTTAAAGGACTGTCCATCGAAGATTGAGTGTCAACCAAGTGATTGGAAACAAGGGGGGTGTACGATACCAACACCGGTCTCTGGCGGTTGCGCTGTTATGGATGGCATACAGGGTGTGTGTTGGAGCAAATGTGATCCAGCAACCTCTGAACCGGTCAAGGAACAATGGAAGAAGGGCGACCCATGGTGCTGGCTTGAATCGGATGATGTCGGCGCCTTTTGTAATGATGCAAAGGACTGCCCGGCGGATCTGAAGTGTCAACCAAGTAGCTGGGCCAGGGGAGGGTGTTCGATAAACACGCCACTTTCTGCTCGGGCATGGCTTTCTGATAATGGGACGTCTCCTACTATCACAAGACCCCATGGCCTCCGGCTTGATTTATACTTTTAGCTGCTAGCCTAGGTGTACTAGAGTAAGTTGATACTATGCTTCTATCCCTTGGCCTCCATGCCTTTATAGAAAGCCCAACCATATTCCTTAGGGAAGATATTACTAATCTGTAGGTTGCTGCCAGCCTAGAAGACCTTAATCCCCTTATCATAGTAGTTTTTCTTCGCCTTTCCCTATACTGTAAGGATCCTGAGACGTCCTTATATATTCTTTGTACATACTTCCCGCGAAGGCAGACCAGAGATCTCCAATTTTCTCAAACCAACCACTACACCATAATTCTCATTCTAGTGTTCGATGCTCTAAAGCTAAGATACAGGAGAGAAGGAAACACGGAAGTAATAGGTTGTCATCACGTCATTGCCATTGTGGCCGAGCGGAAAGGCCTAGGACTCACCCGGCGGCTGAAGAAGAATAGTTGTTGGAATAAGATACCACTATGACTATGGATATGAAACCCTAGACTGACGAGTACATCGTCCGGACGCCTTTTTGGTCTAGTGATTTATTATTCAATAACAGTACATTAAAGATGTTGCCGAGTTCGCGCGTGTCCTCCTGACCACCACTGAGATGACGTCCGACTGTGGCTGGCAGCGCATTCGAGTCCTCTTTCTGCTGTTGATAGTCTAATGTTTGGAGACCCGTCTGCGTTTTAGTCTCCGCCACCAGTGCCTGCAGATTCCGTCCCAGACTCGGTTCATCTCAGTGCCATATCCCAGCCTGACTCTCTTCCAGACATACGGGCCAATCACATCCGTTGGTGAGTTCTTCATTGATGACTGTCCCGGATGGCAATTCAGACACTATAAACATTGGAAGTTAGCAATAAATATAAGAATGAACTTTGATTAGGAGCAGTTTCAACCTCTTTTTCAGCTCTTTAACACCGTTGTTTGCCGTGTTTTCGGCCTTTCTCCACTCCTGCTCCTCTGCATAGTTATCTGCCTGCCTGAGAAGCCAGAGAGCATTCTCGGCATAAGAGAGAGCATTCGTCCACTGGTCCGTAGACTTCCGTTATTCTCAGGCTGTACCAATAGGCCTCCGAAGTAAAGATCACTTTGTCTGCGGAGCCCATCACGAAGAACTCGAAATTAGCGCCGTCACACAGCACAGCAAGTACCGGGGTCCAGTGCCCTTCCTTCTGGTTGGTGAAATCACAGGCTAGGGAATGTGAGTAGAGATAAGTAACCACAGGACCGAAACTCACCAGCGCATTCAGCCAGCACCTGGCCTATGTATGACATCCAGGCGGGCTTTGCCAGTACTGAGTTCTTTCTTGACTCCATAAATACAATACTGATTGATCCAACAGAGATAAAGTGATGCTCAATGCGGCCTCTTTCAGAGAATCTGCTCTGCGCTCGGGGTGAGCGACCTGATTGCAAGTGCGAGAACTCGCTGAGAGGAGCGCTTCCTAGGAAATGAACTATTTTCAGGCGAGTATGGTTCGTAAAGTCCAAGGGCCATGGATCACTGTATCTTTGCTGTTATATTGGCTGAGTTGCCCTGGTCTGTGACTAGTCCATGACGGCCAGGCGATGGGCTAGTAGCCCTTGATGCTGCCACTCTGACTGGTTATAACTCATACTCGATGGGCACGATGAAGAAATGAGGGGAGGGAGTAAGTGATAAGAGAACATATGTTCCACAGACAACTTAGCTCTAGGAGTACCCTAAAGCGCAGGCTGCAAAGTGAATTTACTCACCTAGCGTAAGCTTCACATCCCACATTTCTTTAACCGACATGAGTGGAGAAGACATTGCCTACTACTGCCAACCAGTACAGCAAGGCGGATTACATGACCCTGCTGCATATTTCAATTATAGAGTTTTGCATAGGAGCTAAACCCTAATCAGTTAGATGAGTTCTTCACAGCATTTATTTTAGCCCCACTACAGGCTGGTCCGATAGATGGAGTAACATATACATTCACTAAGCATGATGTCTTAATGGTTTATTTTCATTTTATGATAGTATCTTCGTGGAAGTTGTGGCTATAGGTAATACATGCAGGTGAGAGTAAAAAAAAGAAATAAAGTCCACTTTGTACATTCAGTCCGCTGTATAAGTGCCAACAACCCCACACCTGCCTCTCATCTTTTTCCGAGGCGACTTTCTCCAATTTTCTCAAACCAACCACTACACCCTACACGGTTATCGAATTTTGGAAATATAGGCCTGACAGGCCTTTACATTTTCCACAATGGTGCGTCACCGCTCTGCCGCTTGATATCCTGCCTCACCCATTCCAAACCTGTGCTGACCAGATCACAATCCAGCCTCACGCCGACTCCTCCTACTTCTCAACCTCCCAAGAACCCACCAAGTCAGAGGTATACGCGCAAGTCCTAGAACAAGCCAAAGGCCTAGTGACAGGCCAGCGCAACTGGGTAAGCCTTGTCCCTACCACATCTCCACGCCCCTCCATCTAACTCGCTAACACAACTACAGGTCAGGTACACGCCCTCATCAACCCCAACACACACAAGACCAAAGGAACCCTCTAACATCACACCACCCACCCAGCAACTTCTCCAACATCGCCTCCCTCCTCTGGCACGCCTACGCCGCCCTCCCACCC